ATAAATATTTTGCTCAGCTTAATTTTCCTCATCCAGTGTGTGATGGGAGATGAAAGCTGACTCACAGAGCCAATTAAGTTGTCCGTGTAGTCCTGCTGTGAGGATGAGGCATTCGAAGTTGCTGCTCAATATGGTCCAATATTGACAGTTGCATATGGCTCAACCTAATACTTAGATGTGATTTTTTTTCTGTCCATTGCATGATTAGCATTTGATTTGTTGGTAGTGAGCATTTATTTCTGCTATGTAGATTTAAATCAGTAAACATTTTCTTGGCTCCAGTTGACTTTTTTAACCAAAATGGAATACAAGTGATGTAGGAATGTGATTTGTTACATAATTTACTGTGAAGCTAAAAGGTATTATGTACTTTTTTTTTTTTTTACTAATACTGTATTATCTTACACAATTTTTAGTCTGGGTTTGCTTTTCTAAAACTGTTACATTATCTTTTGGATTGAAAGCTTCATGATCTAGCTCCAGTTTTCTCATTCCAGACATCACACACACACACACACACACACACACACACACACACACACACACACACTCTCTCTCCCCTCCATGTACACTTGTACCCTGAGTATAAGCTGTATATCTTCTAAAACTGTGTCTCTTTTACAGAGCTGCTTAACAGTAGTGTCTTACACTCAATGATTATATGGTAAATGAATGAATTTGGCCTAGAGTGGAGACAGGTCAGATTGTAGTAGGGAGAGGGAGATAGCTAGCTCTGAAATTTAATAATGTTTAATCTTCCAAATACATCGTAGAATCACCAAAGTATTTGGAATAAGTGACTTTAAATCTACACCTTTTATGTAGTTACATAGAAACTGTAGTGCCCATTACCAAGTCAGTAATGAAGTCTTTTGCTTATACCATATCTGAACACTGGAAAGTCAAGAAAGAATATTTGCCCTGAGGACTTTGGACAGATTCTTAAGTAATTTAAACTAATTTTCACATGGCCAATTTTTAAGTAAAATACAAGTATTCATTAGGGCAATATTAGGATAATTTAAAGCCTGTAGAGAAATTTATATAGAGCATTTATATAAATTAAAAGTACAAATCATTTATTTTCTTTAAAATATGAATTGTACTATTTATACATTGTAAGCTAAATAATAACTCCTAATTTAGCTTGTGTTTAATGTAGTTTTATAAAGAAGATGCACTTATGTATTTTTTAACCAAAATTTAATACTATTTTTTCATAATAAACAGATTCACTTTTTGAAGTTGTCGTTATATCATTCTGGGAATTAGGATGATCATTAGTCTGGGAATTATTATTGGATTAGTGATTCACAGCCAAGCTTAGACTTGCAACTTAGACTATACAGCGCAGATAATCACTTATATCTTGTCTCAGTGTATTTGCAAGATACTATTGAATAATCTCTCATTGCTATAGAGTGGTGAATAAAGCTACATCAATTTGAAGTCAGCTTCTTTAGAAACCACTTCTTTTTTTATCAATTCTTTTTTTATTTTGGTTTTTTTATTAATTTTTAAATTTTTTACATTGTTCATTTTTACAATTCTTTATTTAGGTAACAAGTTGGTTATGTTCACTGCATTATATGAAACATCACAATATCATACTGGAAAGGTACTATCAGTACAGGCTTGGATCGAGTGGACAGTTTGGACAATAAGCCATTTTTGCATTCTTTATTCCCTATCTTTTAACAGCCCCCAAAACCCAGTAAAGGAACAGCTTTTAACATTATCATGTAAAGTACTTTAACCTACAAGGCTAAAAGCTAAAGAATAAATAAAATATATTGTGGCAATAATTTCTTTTAGACCAAAAATCAGGTGCACAATAAATCAAATGATCAGGAAAGCTGTCTGTATTCAAATGTGTGGTTCTCCAGAAACAGCTTCAGGAAAATGTTAAAGAAAATACCATGAATTCCATTTCACACAGGACCAGATGATGATTCATTTTAACTACACACAAGGGCAATTACATCCTGCTGCTACACAATTTAAACATATAGGAAAATGTATACAATGCATCCACAACGTGTAAACCATGTACAAATGGATACATTCATTGCTTCTCCTACCCAAATAGCTTCTTTTAGATAAATATTTTACTCTTCATGTTCAGCATTAATTGGATACAGAAATCACTGCTTTTTTAACTATGCAAGTAGACTAAGGATTAGGATTTTATTTTTTCTCTGCAAATGCAATATATTAAAGGTCAGATGGAATAAAAAATAAAACTTATGTTTTTCTTAGACATATATAGTCTGAATGTTGTGTAGTGTTGAATCAGATGTGGCTCCAGTCAACTGAAATACCTTGATTTTTGTCAGTAAAGCTTTACTCCATCCCCCAAATTTTACATTATGGATTTTATAAAATAAATTTGTTTTCTTTTGTTTTCAAATGATGGGCATTTTAGCCCCTTATTTATTTGCTATAAAGTTGTATTGTAATCAAATTGAAAAGTCTTGAGACAATTCAGACTAACTTGCCCTTCAAATTACATGTGTTATTTTATGTGCCACCAAACAAGTATGTTTTTGTCCAAGGGAATATGAAAAAGGGATTTGAGGAAGTAATAAAGTACATGATGTCAGATTAAATGCATACTCCTGCAATGTGCTTCTTAATGTTCTGATAGTCTTTGACACATTTCATACAGTATTTTAAATTTTTTAAGCTGCATTCTAAAATATTTGAGCAGAATGCCCAGTATCTCCATTTGCTGAGATGTATTTATCAAATACTTTAGTGACATTGTACGTGTGTTGCAAAGGGTGTGTATTGTATTAGTGTAGCTTAGGTGTGTAACCCAAGGCAAATTATTACTTTTTTAAATATTCCTTACAGCTATGTCTTCCATCCCTATTGTATTCTCTGGAGACAATAGCTGCTCTTTCCTTTGTTTCCATCTCTGTGCTGCTTGGGTATTCACTCCTTTATCTAAAATAAATGGACTATGTGTTGTGCAGAAGCAGCAGTACCAAGTCTACAGATTCTCTTATCAGGCCCCAGTGATACAGAATAAATCAACCTTACAGTTGGTAGCCTAGCAGAAACCAGACTACTTGGAAGTAATCTTCATGTTATTCTCTTATCTATTATCTGAAACTTGAGAGCATAATTTGCTTAAGTCATGAAATTTTCCTCTGTATGGACACAATGAAATAAAATGTTTAATTCCTTGGTGGAAATACTGCCAGTGACATATATCCTCTGTTGCTTTCAATAATGGGTTATTAAACCAGCCTATGCTGATTACTGTGCATCTGTCATTTAAGAAAATGATAAGAGCAGAATTTAAATGTTCTAGTTGAGTGTTTGTAAAGAAACTGTGGAAGTTATATTCCAAAGCAGCTATCGTTCCTCAAGCTCAGCGGGAAAACAGTTTAAGTATTGCTCATCATCATGTCCTTAAGCATCTAGCCAGTGTCTTGCTAAGTATTTGTAAATATTTCTTAAACAAATTAATGGATTAATAAGTGGGAAAAAAGAAATGCAAGAACAGCTACCTATTTGTTTTTCTCATGTATTGAAAAATCACTATAAAATAAATAGTTAGATAGCCTTTAACTTGTTGAAACCTTCCAAAGTCCAGTTAAAAGAATCACTGCTATAGGTTGTCCTATGCTACGTTTAACTATAGCTTTTTAGAAATCAGTGGTATGTTGGTCCAGGTTTTTCGTTTATGGAGAAATTTTTAATTTCACATTTCTCTTTTCTGTATGCTTATGTATCCATCTTCTAGTCTTTGGACACCATTTTAGCTTTTTTGTAATTTTCTAATTTTATACGTTATGTAGAAACAACATGGGACTTGACAGACTTACATGGTCAGATTCTGTCATAGCAAAGACAGAATTTTTCACAGTTGTGCCCTTTGTACACATGAAATGTGTTAATTTTGGTGACAACATACATAAAATAATTGTGTATAAAATAAATAAAGATTATTTGGTACAAACCATTGTAGAACCTTGATTTGAGGTTCTATTACTGTTTTTTTATACTGTTGAGTAGACTATTAAATGACCCTTAATTTCCTCCTCATGACCTCTTTGGATATGTGCTATAGGAATGCTGTGCCTGTGCTGGTTTACACTGATCGATTTCATTCTATCTGTGATAAGGTCGAAAAAGAATAGTTAACATTAAATTGGTGAGCAGCACTACCATCTTCATACACCAGCCTAATTGCAGCCTAAGCCCCAGGTGGTCTAATACTTTTCAGTAGTTGACTTAACTTGAAACAAATCCATGTTAAATTTATGCCAAGAACTAAGAAGTTATTTGGGATATAGCACAATAAAGGAGCAAAGATCTTAAGTGTATTAGATGTTTTGATTATCTGTACAAAGGTAAATGTGGGGAACAATTATATAATATTTGCTTACTTTTTGAAGAAGTGTTTTTAAATGTAAGATTGTTATAAACTAGATCTAAAACAGAAATGTTCCCAGAAGAATTTTTTGACTAAATTCATTAGTGTTGATTTAACCCTAGGATTTTATGTTAATGAATTCTGTTAAAAATAGTACTCAGAAGTACTATTAATTTCAGAAAGTTAGATGCAAAAGTATACAATGAGAATGAAAAATTTTATGTGTACACATATGCACATTTATAATCATAAAAACGGAAAATAAAATCAAAATGTTGGTGTGTTTTCTGATAATAGAATTCGAGGAAATTGTTGTTTTCTGTTTTATGGTTTTTTCCTATTATTTCTGTGGTAAGCCTGTATGACTTTTTTCAGTAGAAAAATTACACCTTCTGATAATGTGTCATAAATACAGTTTTGTCTTAATCTTCTAGATGAAAACTGATATCCTTTAACAAAAATTGTGTGTATAAATGGTAATTTGATTTGGTGATTTGCTTTTTAAAAAATGTCTCAATCTTTTATATATTTAATTAATATAAACTTCTGCTTGGTATTAAAGAAACCTGGGGGAAGAAGAATTTAAAAATATTTATCTTCCTTTTATTTTTAGATGCCAGAATTCCAGAAGAGTTCAGTTCGCATGAAGAACCCTACAAGAGTAGAAGAAATTATCTGTGGTCTCATTAAAGGAGGAGCTGCCAAACTTCAGGTGAGGAACTGTCAAGAAGCCCTTGATATTAAGTCTTTACTTTTAATGTTCAAGTAGTCTCATTCAACTCATGTTTTGCTAAAATCTGAATAAAGAAAATTTAATTAGAAAAGCTTTGTCCAGGGCCTCCCTGTTGGCACAGGCGGCAGAGCACAGCGCTGTGAGGCTGTCCGCAGCCTCTGCAGTGCAGGTTCGATCCGGCCAGCTGGGGAGATATTCACATGGCGCAGCAGACCTCTCCTGTCTCGCCTACTGCTACCCCCAGCAGTGTATTTCAGTTAATCTGCCTGTTCTGCTCCCCACTCTGTCTCTGGTGAATCCTCTCACCCTCCCTCACATCTAGCCTGTACCCCGGTTCTGGTATACATGAATAAATAAGTCTTAAAAAAAAAAAAAAAGAACGAAAAGCTTTGTCCATCCTTTTAGGATATAAAATCTAAAAGATATACCTAGAGTTGGTCTAAGATACACAGAATAACCTGTTGAAACAAACAATAATTAATAGCCCCGAAATAAAATTAACTTTAATATCAAGTTCTGAACTGACTAATCTTATATATGTGTTAAACCATTTTAAGAATATTACCAAGATTGTAAAATGTAAATAAGTATCTTCTTAAATAATGTTCTTAAAAATGTATGCAGTTTCAAGTTTTCTTCAATCTTTTAACTAAACAAATCTTAGGCACAGCAGACCTAAAATCCACCTGTTCCACTCCCCACTCTGTCTCTGGTGAATCCTTTCACCCGCCCCCCCAATACCTCTGGCCTACACCCCTGTTCTTCTACGTACACTCCCATTCACACACATACACATACACATACCCCAATTTAAATTAAAATAAATAAATAAATAGAAATATACCTTAGTAGTTCAAATTAAGATGTAGCTTTATTAGGGCTAATGAATTTCAGACATCTCTGAAAAAATATTTAACCCAGTCAAAGTTTCAAGAACTGGCAGACTATTACCATGTCTCATTCATTAACTGGTATAGTTTACATAGGCAAGTTAAACTCAGAATGTAACAGTGGCAATAACTAAGAGCTTCCTATAGTTTTTATTGCTCTCCCTGGTTTTTATACATTGCCAAGTGGTACTTATGCAATGCTTTATACAGCATTTAATGTTTTATACAGCATTTATTTCCCACTGCAAGCTCTTATACTGAGTTGCAGATTTGATGATAGTGCTAGTTAAATTAAGGCAATTCTCATAACTTTATATATGAACCTCATTAGATCATGCAATATGGAGAGAATAACCTACAGTGGTAATGGGGACCCATGTTTTAAGAAGCCACACAGTAGGCACCCAACCTTGATAGCTATGTTTTTATAATGCTTTTTTCCCTTTTCTGACAGATAATAACAGACTTTGATATGACACTGAGTAGATTTTCCTATAATGGAAACAGATGCCCAACATGTCATAGTAAGTATGGCATTCATAACTGAACTATATTTTATCTAAATAAATTCTACCTAAGGTTAGCTGGTTTGGTTTGGTTTTTTTTTTCCCTTCTTCTTTTATTATATTTTGAAAACTTGTTTTTCCTCATATTATATAAATGGTTATTTTCATGTATGATTTTGGTTGCAAGAAAAATGAATACTTCTGAAATTTCTTTATTCCAATGTGGTCTGTTCATTATTCAAGGAAAATTATTATGGAAAATTATTTTAAACTTGGAATTGACCTAAAAAACAGCATTTATCAAGTGATCTTTTTCTGGGAATGTTACTAAGCATTTATATTGTTTATATATAAATATTTATTTATAAATTAAATTAAAAAGTGAATCATAAGTATATCTGAAGTTAAAATGTTGCTAAGATAATATGCCATTTTATGTTTTCCAAACATGGAAGTGAGTTTCTAAAATATTACTCTCTGACCCAATAAGCAGAGATACAAGCTGTCTCATTTACTATTGGTACATATGTAATTTAATAAAATATTTTGATAGTTTATGTTTATGTATTATATATTTAGTGTGTATATATATATATATATATATATATAATATATATAAAAAGATATAGTTCATTTAAAACTCATGCCTTTGGTCCACTAATTCCTCTTTGGAGAATTTCTAACCAAATAATTCCTAATGGGGGGAGCTTTACTTACAAAAATAGTGGTAACTAAGTTTAACATGGTATTAGGCTGTTGGAAAAGTCACGATACATTGTCACTTGTAAAACAGGAAAAATAAGTCATGACTTTTCAGACAACTCAATATTATTTATAATGGCAAAAGCTTGGAGACAACCTACAAAGTTTAACACTGTGGAAATGTTATAAATAATGTCATGTCTACATGCCAGAGATATCAACCATTATGAATGATATTTAAGGAAAGCTTTTTAATTACATGGGAAAATACACAGTACAATGTGAAGTAAAAAAAGCAAGCAGAGTTCAAAAGTAAAAGTCTAGTATGGTCTTTTATCTGATTGAGATGTATAACACAGCTGAAAGGAAATAAGACTGAAATATTTTAGTAATTTATGATTGATGAAATAATACTGTTTTCTTTACAATAATCTGTGTTTATCAGAATTTCACATTATAAACTTTTCATTAAGAAAAGAGTCAATTTCAAAGATGTGGTCCTTGCTTCTATTTAATTAAGAAGGAAAATCAAAAAGGGACTGATCAGTGTACAGTTCTCAGTGTATGAAGACTATGAATTATCTACCTGAGCAGTGTAACCAGGCACTGAATCTTGGATTTTAAACCTTTAGGTTCTCTACCACATGCACATTACACATTACAGCACTAAGATCAAAAAGTGGCATTTTTAAACTTAAGACAAAAGTAAAAAGTTCTTTATAGTAGTGGCAGCATCAGTCATTTTTCTTTTAATGTCTGCTTTACTTTCTCTTTTTAGATGTCATTGACAACTGTAGGCTGATTTCAGATGAATGTCGACAAAAGGTAAACAAAAGCAGTAACAGAGAGCTAGTCAAAGACTTCATTACCCTTTTTGCCTAAGAATTTAATTTCTTCAAATTCATTCACACAAACAGGAATGAATGCAAAGTACCTGGGACATAGAAAAACAATAAAAATTAGATTTACTGTATGGATTATCATTCTCAGAATGTTCTAAGGACAAAATTAACAATACCTTTTTAACAACAGCAACAAAACTTTTGTAAATACCTTTTAAATTATGAACAAAATAGTCACGTGTCTTACATGAATTGAAGAATGAAAACAAAAGTAATTTGCTTTTGTGTAAGATTTGTTTCCATGTATTGATCAGGAAATTGACTCAGTTCTCTCCTTTCCTTGAGTAGGTATCTCTCTTAACAAATTAAGATTCTAAATGTGAATCAAATTCAATTCTTTCCTATAAGAATACAAGTCGGTTTGTAGTGATAATTTGATTATTATTCAGTTTCATCAAATCGCTGACCCCGAAAGCACTTAGAAAGCTATAAAGGCAGCCTTTTAGGTGTATTTAGTCACATGTAAACTAAGATCAACAAAGAGCTCTTCAGTCAATGTACTAGCTAGACAGTAATGATCTAATTTTACATTATAAAGCAATTTTTGGAAATCACTTGTTTAAGCTGTTTTGCTTTCCATAAAACCAAGCAACTTAATAACAACTCTGTAATTCTCCTCCCTGATTAAGCTACTCATTTCTTTCTAGTTACTGCAACTAAAGGAAAAATATTATGCAATTGAAATTGATCCTAATCTTACTGTAGAAGAGAAGTATCCTTATATGGTTGAATGGTAAGTGCACATTAGGCAATAAGAGAGTAGAAATATAATAAAATAACATTACAGTTACTGTATATGTTTCATTTTCCCCTGTACTATATATAGAATCATAAATTACCTAATGAGTTCTATGATGATTAAATATAACAAAATGAATTTTAATTTTCTGATCACTCTAAATTTAAAATTCCGCATGTAAGCCTTAAATTAAAAAACTTTTTTAAAATATATGAACAAGATGTGACTGAATGTGTGAAAGAAATGAATCAGGAATCTGAACTCAGTTGGAACCAGCAGGTGACAATGTTATTGAGAATTGGTGTTGGTTGCATTAATCAAATGCAGCATTCCAAGCAGACCATGCTGAAAGCATTGTGTTGAGTCCTGGGAAAATGCTGTTGAGAGAAATGTTGACAAACTTAGATTGTCAAAGGAGTTCACTAAGATAATCACAGGAATTAATGCCAGTCCATTTGAGGAACATTTCAAGGAATAGAAAATGCTTTGATTCAGAAGCAACTTTCAGAATCTTAAAAGACTGGGAATGATGTTATTTATTTTCATTATCCTACTGGCTAACAGAGTACCTGGCACACTTAATCACTTTTTATGGTATAAAGTGTTGGAAAAAAGTTAGACTTACTCTCCATGCCTATGGAAGTAAAAGTGGAGCTAGAGTTGGGAGACTTAACAAGACTGGTTTCATCATGATAAAAGAAAGGACTGCCTTGTAATTAGAATTTTGGTGGAATAAGTTTCCCTGGGCATATGAGCTCACTAACATGATGGGAGCCGGCCCAGGCAGAGAGAAGGGTTGCTTAGGAATATTGTAGGGGCATATTTACATAAAAGGTAGTGAGGTTTTAGAGACCTCTTAAACTGAGATGCTGTGACTATAGGTGTTGTATGTAATTATAAAGCCCCTGTATGTAAATTTTTCATCACAAGGATTTTCTCTCATACTCACTGACAATATCATTAGTATTCAGGCATTTCATGAACATTAAAACTACAAGTGGGTGAAAAAAATACCTTTGCTCTGATTCTTATTGCAAAGGAATGATTACACCTCCTTAGGTTAGACTCAGTTCTTATCTGTAGACTGAGGAGAGGTTTACACATTATACCCTTTCGTTATCTTATTTACACAGTTAAATAAGGAAATGCTTAAGAACAGGTATGTCATTTGAGACATATTTCCTGTGTATTCATTGGTGGTGAATTTAAAATTTAAATCTAAATTAAAATCTAAAATATGAATGAAATGCTGTATTTTCTCACATTGAAGAATGCTTTGTAACGATAATAGTTTTAATTTGCCTTAACTGATAATCATTCTTTTTTTCTTTGGTTATAAACTCCAGGTATTCTAAATCACATAGCTTGCTTGTTGAACAGGCTATACCAAAAGCTAGACTTAGAGAAATTGTGGCAGAATCTGACATTATGCTCAAGTAAGTTTCCTGGGTGTCTTCTGTTGTAAATTGTCTACAGACTTGAACTGTTGTTACATATGTATTCAAGTGTGTATTTTTATTAAAATAATCTATAAGAATATTCATATAAAAACATATCCAAAATAGGCCATCTATCACAAAATAGTGGTGAAATAAGGACATGTTAGAATGAGAATGACATGTTAGACATGAAATATGAAAGGAATATTTATTGATCAAATTGAAAAGGAGTTAGCTAAGTACTCCATTTCTAAATTTACATGAATCTGCAGTCTGAATTCTCAGTTTCTTGAAAACAAGGTAAATTAGTAGGTAATATTTGTAATATGTGAACTCTAAGATATAACACATTTTAAAGCTTATTTTCAAATGCTGTTTACCACCTCTTAAAATTTTCAACCCATTAGACAAGGATGATGATGCTATTTTTTCCTTTTTTTTTTTTTTCGTTTGTTTTTGTTTTTTTGGTGATGCTTCTAAGGGGAAAGCATTAAATTGTCAGAGTGTGAGGACAACTAGTAAGTATTTCCTTCCTTTGTAGACAGTTGAATCTATAGCCAAGGAAGAGTAAAAAAGAAAGGATTTTAAGATCAAAACATGAACTACAGCTGCCAGATCTTAGGCAGGAGAAATGCCAACTATGAAGCGAAAACAGCTAGTTGCTGCCACTCAGCTTTTTTAACAAAAGGGAGTAAGTGAACAGGATGGACCAGCAGGTCTTTCAGCTCACCCTAATTGGGCTTTTCAAGGTGTGGTTTCATTATTTGATATTAAATAGTGTAAACTCTGAATCATAGGCCTATATCAGTATTCGTGTAGCCTAAAAAGCAGCTAATGTGTCATTAATATTTATTAAAAGGAGGGTAAAGTTAACTTGTTTGAAAAACTTGTGCTAGTTATGTCGCAGACATCAGTCATAGTCCTAGCGGGCAGTATTTGAAATGAGAATATGAGTGAGCCATAGACTTAGGAAGAGATATTTGGTTTTTTAAACTTCTAGGTGAAAAGGAGATACATTTTGTTCATTAACAGTTTACACCTCCATCTTTCAGGGAAGGATACGAGAATTTCTTCGATAAACTCCACAAGTACAATATCCCTATGTTCATATTTTCGGCTGGAATTGGTGATGTACTCGAGGAGGTTATCAGGCAAGCTGGTGTTTATCATCCAAATGTCAAAGTAGTGTCCAACTTCATGGATTTTGATGACAGTGTAAGAATATCAAATCATTTTTCAAAGTTATTTTTAAAATGTGAAAATATTTTAATCACCTGAATGTATGCTATGTATTATTTAATATGTATTCATTTAATAGGCCAACTTGATAAGTGTACTGAGAGAGTTATCTCCCCCACTGTTGTATTCATAGCCATATGTTAACAATAACATACCCTCCTTACACTTTTGTTCTCCAAACTGTAGGCTAACATTGCAATTATTAAAACTTCTTTTAAAGTAACTTAATGTAGCAACTCTGAAAACTTAACATCCATAGATGGAAAGAAGTGAATCAGAACTGACATTATTTAAAGAATTCTCTAATCAAGACAATATTTATGCTAGACATAAAATTGGACCATTTCACTAGGAACCAAATGAAAGTAATTGACTTTTCAACTCATTGTGATTAACAGTTAGTTTCTAGGAAGTCATTTACTTCTCAAAGCCTTTCTTCTCATGAATGTGAGAAAACAACAAACAGAATTTATAAAATGCAAAACCTGTTATCTCAAAAGGACTTGTATTTTTAATAGGGGGTGCTCAAAGGATTTAAAGGAGAACTAATTCATGTATTTAACAAACATGATGGTGCCTTGAAGAACACAGACTATTTCAATCAACTAAAAGACAACAGCAACATAATTCTACTTGGAGACTCCCAAGGAGACTTAAGAATGGCAGATGGGGTGACCAATGTTGAACACATTCTGAAAATTGGGTATCTAAATGATAGAGTAAGTATCCAGAAGTGTCATTTAATTTTAAGGAAAAATTAGGGTGAGATGTTACAGGCAATTATTACAAAAGGAACCTGACAAAGTAGTTCCTTTAGAGACATTTTGATTGCTCTTTATTCTGGGGATGATTAAAGGAGTTCATGCATGCTACCTATTGGGGGAAGAGAGGGTGAAATTCTAAATGAGGTCTCTCTGGCCTCTTCCCCTCTAGGTGCCATGAGAATCAAAATGTCTCCAGACATTGCCAAATGTTCCTTGGGCACAGTCTTCCCCAGTTGAGAATCACTGTACTAGAAAGAAGTCATTTGGGGAGAAAAGCCACTATGTGGGAAAATTTCTGTGTCAGTGAGTCTTAAAAGTTTGGAAGTATTTCTTCATTTCAAAGAAATTTTATGAAAGTGAATTAATTTACATTTTGCCCAGTAGATCTAATATCACAGTGAAATTTCTGTGAAACTTAGTTCTTCCTGCATATTAATTCAATTTTTGTTTCTATGTTGTGGTTGATTAGGTGGATGAGCTTTTAGACAAGTACCTGGACTCTTACGATGTTGTTTTGGTAAAGGAGGACTCTTTGGAGGTAGCCAACTCTGTCTTACAGAAGATTCTGTAAAGAAGTATTCTTGGACAAGACCTCTCCTGTGTGTACGTTTTATGCAAGAGCTGCTCATCTGTTCATCTGCTGAAAAACTTTTATTTATAATATATTCTAGCTCTTGAAGTTTTTCCTTTCCATTGCTGAAGTATATTTTCAGACAAGCTGAATCCATCAACTGGAAACTCCGTTTTCTCCACCTCTCTCAACACACTCCTCACCGTATTTTTTTAACAGATTTAAAAAAAAAAAGGTCATTAAACCAAAATTTGAAAAATAACTCCCTACATTTTCAAAGTGAATTTCATAGTTTGTTACTGGGAAGATTTTGAGGAGTCTTTTTACACTGAGAAAGCTTATAGAGGTTTAAGAAGTTTTATGAAATGGTAAAATGACATGGTTTTAAGTACTGTCATTTTTCTAATTTGGGTGCATGATGCTGATGGCATCACAGTCTTTTGAAGTGTGTTATGTTTGGTTATTTTGTTTGGTGTGAAAATCACTATTTAACAGAAAATATTGGCACTTGGTGTTTGAAAATTGGTATCCACGTTCACTAATCATAAAATGTTCTGTGTTGAAGCACTGATAATAAACATGAAATGAAAAACTTTTTTAATTCTACTGTCAAGAGTATTTCATTCATTCAACAGATATATATATTCAGTGCCGGCTGTGTTTTTCTTGTGTGTTTGAGTGTGCTGAGAGTCCCAATGTCCCTGTCATAATGCCTATTTAAATTGAATGTTTTCAAATTTACACATAATAAGTTTAAGGATAAAAAGATATTTGCAGAGCAAATTTAATCTGCCCCTCAGAAAATACTAGAGAACCTGGGAAAACCATTTTCCCCCAATGAAAAGATCTGTAAAAGAGGGTCATTTATTATAAGTCTAAGAGTTTCAGAAACAAACACAAGTAGCAAACAAAAGGTCACATGGTGACTAAAACTGCTGAGTTAGGAACCTGTGTTCCTCTTTTCAGTCTCACTCCCCATTCCAAATTTCTGCTACCCCAATAATGCTTAGACTTCCCCATACCGTAAATTTGACCGTGACTCTAATCCTCGAGCTCCACAATCTCTGAGCAACTAATTGGTGTGCTAAGGCATCTGATCTGTGATGCTCACAAAGCGAGATCCAACTACTTCTAGACATCCAGGGAAGTCAGCAGTCTCTAGTTCAATCCAACATGGCAATGAGGCAAGGTCTTGTGATGAAAACCCTTTCCCTGGGGCATACCCTCCTTATCCTCCACTACAAACATCTCCTTATAAAAAACTATTAAACCATAAAATGTATCTTCTTTATCCTCCCAGGGACTACTGTATTTCAGCCAGAAGGTCAGAAAAGACCAATGTTCCAGTTCAGCATTTGGGCAGAGTTTAAAAACAAACAAAACTGAGCCAAACATTTCTCTATTCCTGAAGCTCTAAAACCTGCAGTCTTTTCCCCCAGAGAAACATTTTTTATTCAGTCAACCTGTCCCATTACTAGGAGATGTTTGTAGTAGAGGATAGGAAGGGTATGCCCCAGGGAAAGGGTTTTCATCACAAGACCTTGCCTCATTGCCATGTCGGATTGAACTAGAGACTGCTGACTTCCCTGGATGTCTAAAAGTAGTTGGATCTCGCTTTGTGAGCATCACAGATCAGATGCCTTAGCACACCAATTAGTTGCTCAGAGATTGTGGAGCTCGAGGATTAGAGTCACGGTCAAATTTATGATATGGGGAAGTCTGAGCATTCATGGGGTCCAGAAATTTGGAATGGGCAGTGAGAATAAAACAGAACCAGCTAGGAATAGCACAGTATAAGCACAGGCTTTATCTTTATGAAGACTCACGGATAACCAAAGCCCAGTGCATTCCAAAGGGCAGTTCAATTTAGCAAGATGACTAACCTATCTAATGTACTTAAGGAATTCTGGTCGATGGAAAATCTGAGTGACTGTGCCAGATGGAAGAGGGGTAAGGACCACCAGTGACCATGGCAGCCAGAGCCAGAAAGGCCATGGTCATCTCCTGTGCCTCCCCAAAGTACATGGAGTCCCTGAAGTTGCTTCTGCCAAGAGTAAACGGTGAACATTTGCTTCTTTAAAACACTATTTTTAAAAATACATTTAAAACACTATTTTTAAAAATACACGTGCTAGTTTAGTCTCCATTTGCTCCTGCCCAGCCCCTACCTCAGAGTCATTCTCTTTTCTCTATATTGCAAGAGACTGGCCTCTGAGAACACCAGCACCTGAGCTCCTTTCTCTCTGGCTTCCTATCAGGTTCAGGTTCAGCTAACCGGAGTCCCTGGTGAGACAGACACAATAGGTATTTCTTCCCAGCAGTGCTAGCCACAGTTCTGGGATTGACTTCAGCCCTCCCAGCCAGGGAGCAACCCACATGGCGCAGCAGACTTCTCCTGTCTCACCGCTGCCCGCCTCAGCAGTGTATTTCAGTCTGCCTGTTCTGTTCCCCACTCTGTCTCTGGTGAATCCTCTCACCGCCCCCCCACACCTCCGGCCTGTACCTCAGTTCTTGTATGCATAAATAAATCTTTAAAAAACTAAATAAAACACCACAAAGCCAACATGATAAAAGTCAATACTTTATATACAAAAGATCAGTTTTGCAACGTTAATTCCACTGAATGAGTGCACGGCATTTTCATGAAGTATCTTAGGGCTACATCAGTACAAAATAGTTTAAATTAGTAAAATAAAGCAGTCCCAAAGGGAAATCATGATTACTTCAGAGTGAGTGCCACCACCACTTGGGAACAAGAAACATAAGACAGCAATGCGGTTACCACACGAGGTGAGGTGGGGAGGCTAGGCAGGTGAAGATTCCTTGTTTTCCTATGCAGAGCACAACCCAGCCCCCCTTTCAGGGCACTGCTCTCTCGAGGAAAAGAATGTCACCTGCATATGCTCATCTGCTGAGAAGTCGCTTCCATCTTGGTCTTGGGGAGAAAGCTAGAGTCCACCTTCACCACCAGCCCTGTCTGCTCACAGGACTCAGGGCGGGTGAGAGTGCACTGCAGGACAGTGACAGCAATAAGGACGAGTGAAGCAGGCAATCTTACGTGGCAAATGCACAATCAATTCTCTATTCATAGTCCAAAATGTCTTGTTTTCTATTTAACCTCCAAGTTACACTGTCAATTGGAGCAGAACAAGGGGATGAGTGTGATGAACTAGAAAACTGTGTGTGTGTGTGTGTGTGTGTGCGCGCGCACACACGCACACGTGTGTGCTGGGCATCACCAGAGCCAGTGAGGAAACTTTTCCAGGGCTTACTGGGAATGCTGGCACACCCTGTCTTTTCTGCCCATTTGAAGAATACTTTAAAACACTGGCACTGGCAAATTTAAAAAAAAAAAAAAATTTAATCCTCCTATGCAGACATCCTGGTCACTTTTTCTTCTGTTCCCTGCAAGATGATTGTAACTCCTGTCTGACACTACTTTCCTTTAATAACAAAACTACCCAGATGGCTCACAAAACACTGGCTGGCAGCTCAGCCTTTTCCATAGACAACACATCCCACGCTGAGGCACCTCGCACCGATTTTTTTTTTTTTTAAGATTCCTAGCAGTTGGCCTAAATTCTCACCGCGTGTACAACCCATCCCTGACATAAGCCCAGGTACACATGACCCACCTACTACTTGCTGACCGTGCGCTTCTGAGACCCTCGCACCCGCAGGCACACTCTGCCGTGACCGGGGGCTTGGAGTCACACAGGTGGCTGAGTCAGGTTTAGAGTTCATCGTGTTTGGCCTCCTGGTCTTTGAGTTTAAATTCCTCAGCTGTGACCTTTCCATCTCCATTCCGGTCCTGGTTGGTGAACATATTCTTCACAATCATCTCAGCATCAAAGCCAGGAGCGAGTTTCCCTTTGCCAGATGCCACCTGAGCATGAATGTACTCTGAGAACTGGAGAGAAGGGGGACAGTGCAAAGCATGAGATGTGGCAGCTGAGAACCCCAAGCCCCCAGCCTGAACACAGCCTCCCAAGGGTGATGGAGCCGGAATTTGAATCTGAGCTAGCAAAACAGACAAAATCTTATGAGCTACACGACTTGGGTTTTTTCCCCCAGATGCAGGTTAAAAGTCCCCTGACCAAAAGACTTCCCCACCAAAGGCTGACCCCCAACCACCCTGAGAACTCGCCATACAAGTGGCTGCTGTGCACTAAGCATCATCACAGACCCTAGAGATACATCAATAAACAAATAGCCCACCCTCTTAATTCTAGCATGCTGTGGTGGAAAAGACACACCATTAAAAATAGACATTAAAAAATAGGTAAATTACAATTAAATTAGAAAATAAAATGCTCCAGAGAAGTAAAAAAGCAGTGCCAGGTAAGGAAGAGCAAGTGTGAAGGTGGCCACAGCTAAGCACAGTCCTAGAGGGCCATGCAAAGAGGCAGTGCTGACAGCAAGGAATGGGAAGCGGGAGTTCCAGGTGGTGCTGGTGATAGTGGAACCCATAGCAGTGCCCTATAAGAGGAAGAGCAAATCTCTAGGCATCTGCCACACAAGGGTCCTCGTCCAGAGGGCAGTCACTGGTCACACATACTCCTCCACCTTTTCCTGCCGCTTTATACCCTGCATCCCCCTTGCAGCACAGTGGTTAAGGAGGAAGGCATGGAAAAGAAAGCTGGATGAATAAGCTAACTCTGCACCCCATGGGATTCTGAGCCTCAGTGTGGAGAAGGAAATGAAGCTCTGATATTAAACTGTCTGCACTTCAAATAATTAAAAGTGAGATTATTAAGATCCAAAAGTGAATAGAAATGTTATGGGATCTGCTGGTGCAACCATCTAATGGCAGGGAGAAAATTTCAACACAGTACATTAGAGAAAGAAAAAGTTTGTGGTTAAAGAAAAAAAAAAGAGTATAGGTGGGGGAGTGGGTTGAAGTGTTTAATGTGGACATTAGGGTAAAAAGCCAGTGAAAAAGGGAAATTTGTGCAAAGGCTTGAAGAAAGCCAGGGAGTGAGCCAAACCGTTATCTTGGGGGAGTGTTTTCTGAATACAGAACACCTGGTACAAGGCCTGGGGTGGGTGTGAGCCTGATGTGCTCACAGAACAACACAGGGACAGCGTGCTGGGCAAGTAAGCAGGGGAGAGCAGCCGGAGAGGGGGTGACAGCAAGCAGGTCGTAGAGGCTTTGGAGGAAAGGTGGGGGGCTTTTGGGTTGGTGAAAATGTGGGATTTGGGGAGAGTGGTGTTCACGGAAGGGAGACAAACTCAGTGCCCTGTCCCGATACCGTGCGCTAGATATGTCTTCCATTTGCATGTTCCTGAGTTATATTCTTTGTAACAAACCAGTGATCTAGTGAGCTAATGAATTTCCCAAGTTCTGTGAGTCACTGTAGCAAGTTAATCAAACCTGAGGAGGGTGTCCAGAAACCTGATTTACAGCCAGTCGGTCAGAAGCCCAAGTGGCAGCCTTGGATTTCAGCTGATTTCTGAAGTGACTGGCAGTCCTGGGAGACTGAGTTCTTAACCTGTGGACTCTGATGCTACCTCAGACTCCCTGCTTCACTTGCTGAATGGCCTTGGGCCCAGTAATGTTCACTAGGCATTTCTGCCCCGTTTTCCTTCAAAGGTCATTTACCTCTTCAAGGAGGACTTCTCCATTGCCATCCTTGTCGATTTCCTCAAAGAGGTTGGGTGACACCTCATCATTCCATATGAACATGTACCCCTCAGGCAGGCCCGCAACAAGCTCCAGCAGCTCGATGTCAAACACCAGCACGGCGCTCCCAGGGACTTCTCCAGCTGTCTCACCAACAGGGCAGAAGCGGGTTAGTGCCCAGGGCAGCAGTACCGGCTCAGCTCCCCTCCCCACCTGAGGATGCATCCAGCTGCCTGACAAAGGCAGGCATTTCTCATGAAAGCAGGAGACCTTAGCATTGGCAAGCAGTTTCTCCCAACTATATGTAGTCACCATTAATGAGTTATGAAATCAGTTTAGATGGCGACCAGGATTTCTTTTTTTTAATTAAAGAAGAGAATAAAATAGACCAGGGTACAATGCACATAGAAAAAATAGCTTTATTCAATTTTATATATAAAATAAAATGTATATTAACACATGCAGAAATTTTAGGTTTATGTATATTAGAGACAGGGAGATGAAATGTATTTCTTAATGTGTGTCAGTGAAAAAAATCTGAAAGTCACTAGTAGAGACCACATTGGTAGAACTTTTGAATAGTAAGATTTTAAAAATAATACGGTACGTCTTAAAATTACAATCTAACATGACAATAAACATAAGTTTGAGAATAGTATACCTAGTACGAGCCCAAAAGAAGTTATGCAACTATGTGAATAGATATGTGTATATATAAATTCAAATGTATATGTAAATATGCCTTAATTTAAATTACTAAATATTATGTAGATTATATATGATAATTATAATCTATCTTACAGAAGCATGGTCTTAAAGGATACACAACATATTTTTTAAAGTGTTTCTTTTTGGATTGGTAGGAGGAACAGAGTACTTTTTCCAGTTATTTTAAAATGATGAAAAAGAGGAAATCAATCAAGCCTGCCATGTTTACAAGTTAACACTTTGCATCTCCCCCACCTCCAGAGAGCAGGAGCATTAAAAAGCTGAAAAAAAGAAGGGGTTGCCAAATCCCCATGTGGTGGACTCATTCTGGCAGCAGTAGTGAAGTATATACCACAACACAAACCTCTCCTGTGAGGACGAGGCAAAGACAGTATTTCCGTGACTTGAAACTAAACTCTACCATAAGGAAATCCCTTTGGCCACCTTGCAGGTTCGGGAGAGGAGAAAGCAAAGCCTTCCTGACCCCAGAAACAGAGCCAGAAGGAAGCACTTGGCCTCACCTAAGAAAAATTGCCTGGAAAGCTCCTTTAGGGACATTTCCCACAGGTGGGTTTGAAGATGCAAAAGGTTTATTCCACTAAAGCCCCTGCTTTCACAAGAGGGTGTGGGGCATTAACATGGCATTAACACTGAATTCACAGGGATCTTAGGAACTCATTTAGTTATCAAACGAAAATGCTCAATACTTTTAAAAAATAAAGCCACAGATTGTTTGGGTTTTAAATGGAAGAAGCATGGTGTGACTCTACATATGGCACCCCAAATGCACAAAATACAGATAGTAAACGTGCCCCAAAAGCGTTTAATACTGTTGCTTACTTACCCACGCCGGCCTCCCCATACCCCAGGTGAGGAGGGATAATCACTGTTCGTTTCTCTCCAACACACATCTCTCTGAGACCCATATCCATTCCCAGCACAACTTGTCCAGATCCCAAAACAATATTATACGTTTTGCCTAAATTCCACCTGAAAACAAAGCAAAGGAGTCCCTGTTTAGGTCAGGAGCCCACTGGCACTTGAGAGTGTTCCCATGACAACACATCACTTCCATGATGTTTCTGCCAAAGACACAGAAGCCCTCTTCAGTCGTGAGGAAACATCAGACAAACCCAAACCGAGGGACATTTGGTAAAATTACCACCTGTAATCTTCAAAAGTGTCACGGTGAAAACCAAAGGAAAACCAGGGAATTGTCCCAAAGCATTGGGGCACATCAGAATGGGGTTATTTCACATCCTGCAGAAGTTAAGTGAGGTTGTAAGGTTACATGGCAATAAACACCCTGAATTTCACTTATGTGTTGACTTAACGTAGGTGCTTTCCATATTGTAGGAAATGCATACTAGAAGGTTGAGGGATGATGGGACCTCTTGGGGCAACCTTCTTGCCAATGGTTTCGGAAAGAAAAAGTTCTTTGTCCTGCCTGCTCTTGCAAAGTTTCCCTAAATTTTCATCAGTGTTCATTGGCAGAAATTTTCCTAAGTTTTTTAAAATAAAATTTAAAAGTGGTTCAAACCCTAGGTTTTGGATGCAGTAAGACCTGCATTTGAATCCGGGCTCTACCACTCAGTTTCACCCTGACCATTTAATCTCTCAGATTCCTAATCCAAAAAGTGGGTATGATAGCTACTTCACAGGGATCTTCTAAATAATAAATAACATGTTAAGCTTGGCACTGCAGAAAGCAAGTACAAAGGGTTAATAAATGGATGGTCTGGGGGATGTAATGGAAAGTGCTTGTGTCTATAATGATCTGACTTCTGAAAAATAACTGAGAGTTTAACTTGGGCCATGGTTTAAATTATCCTTGATGTCCATGGTTTCCAGGAAGCCCAGATGAATAAACGTTTGCTCTATCACCTCAGTCACTATTGAAAATAAATCTATTTTCAAAGTCATGTGTTCCTATCACTTCCTAAAGGCAAAGCGGGGCTATGTTCTTCAATACCAAGAAAGAAACCCCACCTCCATGATGCCCCCTTGCTGCCCATTCCCCAGGTGATGACGACACAGTAGCCCATTTGGGTCATATGTCCTTCTCAGGCCTCCTTGGGCCCAGGGCTGCCTCCTCTGTCTCTTCTCAAGCCAATCTCAAAGGCAACTGGTTCTCTGGGGCCAGCAAACCAAAACAGGGTCTGCATTTGTTCTACCTGGGATGAAACTCAAACAGCCAACTCTGGCGCAGGGCACCTTGGCCCAAGGCCCGCAGGACGGAGCGTCCTCCGTTCTGCCCTCTACACAATCCCTCCTTTGTCAGCAGCACAGAGGCGCCTTCACATAGCTTTACTCCAGGGACTATTAGGGACCTCCCTTAGGACTCCTCGGCTTCCAAGTCTTACAGAACATTTAGGAACTCATTTAGTTATCAAATAACAAATGCTTTTTCTTCCTCTCTGGGGCCAGTGTAAGCACACATTAAGAAAATGCTCCAAGTAAACACTTCGTGTTCAAGTGTCATCTCTGAAAACCCCACAAACTCTTTTTCCGCAGGACATCTTTTATTTTTATGCCGTTTTTTTCTCTCAGATATGCTCCTCATTCCTTCTGTGCATTCCAGGCTTCCCAACCCTCACAGGCTTCCTGCTTCCTGCCTGCAGGCCGCCCTCTGTGGCTCTCCACCCACAGTCCCCTCTATCTCTCAGCAGCCAGCTTGTCTTGGCACTGACAAACTAGTACTCACAGCACCTGCCTCTTCACTGCTAGAGCCCACTGGGGCCCAGGGGGGGAAGGAAGTAACTTCCTAAGGGACTCCTCCCACACACACAGGTAGGCAGAGGCCTGCCATACCTGATGTTATCACAATTTTCTGAAGATCTCATCAAGAAGAGACCTGCAGGTACAACTGCATGTTGCTCTTCCAGGTAGACTTACATGTAACACAGATGATGCTCACAGTACAGACTGGAGTCTCAGGTAAGGGGAAGGAGCTTTTCATGCAAGAATGTTTTGAATCCACCAGACATATCAGATGTCAGGAAGATGGATCCCCAACCCACATGAGAAGCATATGCTGAACACACTGGGAGGGAATTCCTCTGTTCATTTCCCACCCTCACATCCCCTCTCCATGGTCACAGGAGTGCTACATATGAGTATAAACATTAGCAAGAGTAACTGCCCTTATAGACCTTTCTCAGTTTGTGGAACATTTTTGCATGCATGAGCTCACTGGATCCCCCAAACAACTAACTACAAGTCATGCTTCTTCTCCACTGTACTCCAAAGCTTTAATACCTAGGTGGCTGGGATTTCTTTGCAAACAAGTTTGCTATAAGCCAGATCACTGTAATTCTAGGCCTCAGAAATTAGTACATGTTTTGCTGATTATATATTTTCTATTACATTCTCATTTGAATACATTTTGAAATTGATGGCATATCATTATTATGGGATAAGATTTATACTTTCTTAGCAATGCATAAAATAATGGTGTTTTAACAATCAACACATGAAATATGCTATAGGCATTTGTATATAAGATCTTGTGGCACCAGAGAGAGTATTCTGAAGAATATATCCCAGAGTTTGTCTCTTCATGCCTGGGTCTCCCCACTCACACTCTGTTACCTGAAGCTATAAGGCAGAAAGATGGGTGAGAGAGAAAGAAAGCCTTCCCCATCTAGAATAAATGCAGTAGCACACTTATTTATAGGATGTTCTTCTTTCTTCCTAAGAACAAACTTACGGATTAAGGTCACGCTCAGTACAAAAAATGAATAAACTTATACGAACTATTTAAAAGGTTTGTTTCCCAAAGAAAAGAATATTGTATTCACTTAGATACATCTGAAGATCCAGATAAAGAAGAAGCAAAGTTCCCTTCACCTTTACCATACTAGTTTATTCTGCTGATTCCTACTAATATATATTCAGACTGTCAATCAATTAACATTTTATTAAAATGCTCCCTTTATGCTATGATATAGGTGCTATTGGCTAGATGTAAGTTATAAAAATATCAATAAAAATATGAGATATCCCTAGGGTATTCAGACCAGCAACAGAATTGAAAACGAAATCAAATAACTAAAAAAAACGCAATACATAAAATAAAATGAGGCTATAAAAGTAGGAGCAGTTGAGTCTTCCTTGGAATTAAGGAACAATTTTGATAAAAGGGAGGATATTTAATCCAGGGCAAATATTGACAAGAAAGAAGCAGTTCACATCCTATACCACTATACGTGGCAGCCCTGGGAGGTAAAATATGGGCCCCAGCAGATGAGACCAGTGAAGCAGAACAGAGCTGACAAAGAGCCTGATGCACCAGACTTTGGAGTTTGGACTTTATCTGTGAGTTAATTTTTAAAGACAACAGTTATAGGATGAGATCTGTTTTTCAGAAAGACAATTTCACAGGAGTAGCGGGAGATCATTCATAGGGAACTCTTAAAATAATGTTCCTGGGGGCCTCCCCGGTGGCGCAGCGGGTTGAACGCTGCACTGTGAAGCTGTCCACAGCCTCTACAGCACGGTTCGATTCCTGGCAGGCCAGGAAGAAACCCACATGACACAGCAGACCTCTCCTGCCTGGCCCGCTGCTCCCCTCAGCAGTGTCCTTTGTCCGTCTGTCTGTTCCGCTCCCCGCTCTGTCTCTGGTGAATTTTCTCTCACCCTCCTGCACCTCTGACCTGTACCCCAGTTCTTGTATAAATAAATAAATCTTTAAAAAAAAATAATGGGGCCTCCCTGGTGATGCAAGGGGTTAAGCACCACACTATGAAGCAATCCGCAGAGTTCGATCCCCGGCCAGCCAGAGAGAAACCCACATGGCGAGGCAGACGTCTTCTGTCTCACCCACTGCTCCCCTCAGCAGTGTGTTTCAGTCAGTCTGCCTGTACTGTTCCCCCTCTGTCTCTGGTAAATCCTCTCCCCGCCACCGCCATCTCTGGCCGGGACTCCAGCTCTTGTATGCATAAATAAATAAATCTTTAAAAAAAAAAATGTTCCTGAGCAATGATGTGGGCATGAGCTATATACTGGGGAAGCTCTCAACCCATAGCCAGTGACTAGAAAAGGAGGACCGCACGGAGACACACACTTTACCCACCAGACTCGCTCCCCCACCACTCCAGCTGCTCTTACGTGGAATCCAGCAGGGTCCCATCCAGAAGAGAGGCGTTGTAATGATATTTAAGGAAATCTCCCTTCTTACTCAGCACAGAGCAGTCGGGGGGCTTGTAGTGGGAGGTGATACTGATGGAGTCTGAAGGGTTGTGGAAGTCAATCACGTGGATGTCAAACACCAGTACAGCTGAGCCAGGGATGTTCCCTAAGGGACAGATACAGGAAATTAATGAATGTGCCCTACACACTACAACAATGTGCCTCCCCAATAACACCAGGCAAGGCCTTGCAGATCTCCAGTGAGGAACATGGAGACCCAGACAGGAAAGCTCTGGGAGTACTGGGAGAATGAAGCTGGAAGGCTGTAACAAGTAACCTAACCCTCGTTTTCCAGGTGGGGAAACTGAGGCACAGATTTGCTCAGGGTCACACAGCCAGTTAGGATCAGTGTGGACTAAAATTCCAGACAATGGGTTACTGCTCCATGGAATTGTTAAGCCTGAAAGATAGCTAAATTCGTCACAGATGAAGAAACTAAAGCTCAGCCTTATTAAAGCACTGCTTCCCACTGGAAGTAAGAGTTAAAATGAGAAAATCAGCTGAAAAGTAGAAATTACTTCAGTGTCCTACCAGTGTGCAGGAGAAACAAAACGTATAAAACTTCACAGGGAAAAATGCCTCCCCAAATCAGCCCATTCATAGCTCTTATGATATAGGACACCTAACAGCTCACAAAATGCTTTTTGTAGAGCACATCCTGTTTGTTCTACATGAAATTAATACACTTTTCCATTATTTCCACTTTTGAAAATATTTATCTCACATATGAATAATGTTTATAGTTTACAAAAGTATTTTTCACACACATTTTCTCAGTAAACCTCTGCAGCAACCCTGTGGAGAAAGAATTACCATAAATCCTGGATTAGCAGACACTCCATGAATTTAATGTCGGCTTCTCAGGGGATGGAGGGACACCTTAAACATATGTATTAACTAGCAAAGCTATGTAAACAACCCAAATGCCCAAAAACAGATGACTGGATCAAGTAGATGTGGTACATATACACCATGGAATATTACTCAGCAGTCAAAAAGATAAACTCGTGCAATTTGCAGCAACATGGATGGAGCTGGAAGGGATCATGTTCAGCGAATAAGCCAGAAAGAGAAAGAAAAATACAGGATGGTCTCACTCATAGCATGAATTTAGAAAACCTAAAAAGGGACCAGGAAAAAGACTAATTATAATAAAGTAAAAATCAAAATCAACAAGTTACTATAAACCAGAGACACACTACAGGGAGGGAGGGGAGGAGGGAGTAGGATCAAAACGGGAGGGGGGAATGGGAATTGTATGGGGACTATAACCAAGATGAAAATGCATACATTGTGCAAAAATGAAAAATGACGTAGAAAATATATAAAATTTTAAAAAGTGTTAAAAAAGTTAACTATTAAGCACATCTCTAGATCATTTCAAAAAGTTTAAATGTAAAAGTTTTATAAAAGTGTTATGCAGAATCAAGGATGTATATTTCCACAAGTGTTTACAGGGAAGGAAAAAAAGATATAAGTTGTTCAAAAAACAATCGCTATAGTGGGCCTCCCCTGGTGGCGCAGGCGGTTGAGTGCTGCGCTGTGGAGCTGTGCGCAGCCTCTGCAGTGCCAGTTCAATCCCGGCCAGCCGGTGAGGGTCCCACATGGCGCGGCAGACCTCTCCTGCCTTGCCCGCTGCTCCCCTCAGAGGTGTATTTCATCAGTCTGCCAGTTCTGTTTCCCACTCTGACTCTGGTGAATCCTCTCACCCTCCTCTGCATCTAGCCTATACCCCGGTTCTTGTATGGATAAATGAATAAATCTTTAAAAAAAAATCGCTATAGACAGATATTAAACAGAGATATATGCACACTCACAGTCCCCACCCCTGCTCTGTAGCTTTCTGTGTCTATTTATTGGCTGCTCTCGCTCTAAGACACACATATGCACAAGCACTTAATGAGTGCTTACTAAGTACCGTAAATGTATTCATTTAAGTGCTGTAGATGTATTCATTTAATTGTCATTGCAATCCTATATTCTAAATCTATGGATGAGTAAACTGAGGCACAGGTTTGGGGGCTCGCCCAAAGTTACTAAGGCAGGAATTAGAGAACCATGTGCTTTTCTTGCAGATCACAGGTGCCTGATTGCTCCAGGCAGGACAAACGATGAAGTTCTCTGCCATTACCAAAGACTCGGAGTCTAAATGAATTTGCAATGGGAGGAGGCTAGGGAGAGTGCCATCGAGAGCAGCTCTGCCTTTCGCTCTTCCAGCCCAAGCTTTTATTACAGACATGAACAAAAGAACAAGACAATAGCATGCGATTGGGTTTTTTCTTATACCAATTAATAAGTTACTGCTGAAAACAAGTCTTCCTGGTTAGTAGGGAACATGCGCACAAGCCAGTACATCCTCAGACAATAGGAGTCAATTATGGGAAGAAGTTCTGTTTGCAGAAATTTTAATGTCCTGGAACTCCATATGCAGAGTAAACAGGTCTTCTCGAAAAACTCAGCTCCCTTTAGGGCAGCAGCCTCCCAACACCTGATAGTGCCTAGTGATGGGGAGTTGCTGACGTTGGTGGTGCTGGGTACAGGAGCTTTTCCATAGGAACAGGCACTGCAGGCTGCTCTAGGAGGTGGCCCAGAGTCAGGGTCAAGGGCAGCTCCTGGTGGAAAACTAGCACAGTGGTGAATGGCTGTGGCACTAGATCAGTGATTTCTCAAGCATGGCTGTCCATTAAAAACATATGGGGTTACAGCTTAAAAATGTGAAAGAAGCCAGAAACAAAATCATACTGTACAATATGCAATCCTCCAAAACATGGAAATCCATAGCGACAGAAACTAGACTAGTGTTTGTCAGGTGTGATATGTATGTTTGTGTATGTGCGTGTGAAATGGAGAACGACAACTTAATAAGTATGGGCTTCTTTATGAATGATGAAATGTTACAGAATTAGTGGTAACGGTTGTACAACCTTGTGACTACACTAAAATTCACTGAATTGTATATTTTAAAACAATGAATCTTATGTAATGTGAATTAACTCAATAAAAATTTAAAATAAAAATTTCTTCTATAGAGTGTACCCAAAAGTATAATAGCAGAGATCCAAACAGGTATCTGTGCACTGATATTCACTGCAGCATTATTCATATAATAGATGGGAACAATTCAAGCGTCCATCAACAGATGAATGGATAAACAAAACATGGCATATATATCCAAAAGAATATTATTCAGCTACAAAACGCAATTAAATATTGATATAGGTTAAAATATGGGTGGATCTTGAAAAGTTAAGTAAAACAAACCATACAGAGAATAGCAAATAATGAATGATTCCACTTACATAACACACCTAGAACAGGGACAGAAAATAGAATGGTGGTAACTAGGAAGGGTACAGACTTTATCTAGGGGATGATGAAAAAGGTTTGGTATGACAACATGGATGGCTGTTGAGGACATTATGCTAGGTAAGTCGGAGAAAGACAAATGATATCATATATCTATGGACTCATAAAAACAGAGAGTAAAATAGTGGTTATCAGAGATGGGAGGGTGGGGTAGGGTCATAAAAGAGAGGTTATTTAAGGATACAAGCTTATAATTAGTAGATAAATAAATCCTAGAGGTCTGATGTGCAGTGTAATGATTGCAGATAACAATATCATATTATAAACCTCAAATGTGTCAGGAGCCATTAATTATTCCCACCACAAAAAGGAAAGATAATTATAGTTGGTAATGGAGGTGCTAGCTAATGCTAGGGTGGCAACACTACAGTACATAAATGTATCAAATCACTATGTGGTATACCTTAAACTGCCACGTGATATGTCAAATATATTTCAGTAGACTTTTTTTTTAAGTTTTGAACATAAACATAGTGGTGATATTTATAAAATACTGTGAAAATATTTAATGACAATCAATTGTACACTTAAAATAGCTTCAAATAGTAAATATATGCATTATACTGCAATTAAAAAATAAATCGAAACACCACATTCACAGAATAAGAAAAATCACAGATCATCTAACAAAAGGGGATCATTAAATGAGAGGATCATTAAATGTTTTTAGCGGGAATGTTAAAAACAGTGTCAATCCCTGGGTCCCCCTCTGAGATTCAGAGTAGCTCCCTGAGCATGGAGGTAAATGGCATCAGAACATCCTGGAGAACTTATGAAAGTGCACAGGGCAGACCCCTTTCCTCTCAGCATGTGTGGGCTCTGTGATCCGTAAGCACTGCCAGTGACTCTCCTTTGTGAGAGGCACCAACATTTGAGAACCGCTGGACTAGAGTGGGCCCAGGTTTTGCAACTCTTTTTAATTTTTCCGGGGGTTTCTAACAGGTAGCCAAGTTTCAGAACACTAAGCTAACTGGTCTAAGAGTGAGCAGGTAAGGACACTGAGGAAACCCCGTCTCTGAAGAGGCCCACAATGCAGGCCCTGTTTGCAGTGTGGTGGGATGATAGGAAAAGAAAACTGCAGCATGATCTGCTCCAGTAACCTGAAGATAACAAAAGTGGATGGAGCCCACCAAGGCACACCTGGGACAACTACCTGCCAGCACTTGGCCAACTCAAATAGAATCTCCCCTTAAAATGTACTTACATGAATAGCTAAGCTTTGGAAACAACCCAAATGCTCAAAAATAGATGACTGGCTCAAGAAGATGTGGTACATATACACCATGGAATATTACTCAGCAATCAAAAAGATAAACACATGCAATTTGCAGCAACATGGATGGCACTGGAAGGGATCATGCTCAGAGAAATAAGCCGGAAAGAAAAAGAAAAATACTGGATGGTCTCACTCATAGCAGGAATCTAGAAAACTTAAATAAGGGAGGAAAAAGAATAACTATAAGAAAGAAAATATCAAAATCAACAAACAACCATGAACCAGAGACACTCTATGGGGGGTAGGGGGGCGGGGAAAGGAGGGATTGGGGTCAAAATAAGGGGGTTGTAATTGTATGGGGAATATAAAAATAAAATTTAAATTTAAAAAAAAATGTACTTGTATGCGGGGGGCTTCCCTGGTGATGCAGAGGTTAAAGTCTCAGCGCTATCAAGCTATTGCCAACCACTGTGGCCTGAGTTTGATCCCAGGCCAGGGAGCTAACCTTCTCCTGTCTCGCCTGCTGCTCCCCTCAGCAGCGTATTTCAGAAGATCTGCCTGTTCTGCTCCCCACTCTGTTTCTGGTGAATCCTCTCAACTCCCCACACCTCTGGCCTATTTCTTGTATGCATAAACAAATAAACAAACAAATAAATAAATAAATCTTTTAAAAAATGTACTTGTGTGCAGAACCTTCTGTGCGCAAAAAAAATGACATGCCCCTCGCCACCACCACCTACCTCCCTGGGCTCTGACATCAGCTTGTCCAGCACTTTTTTTTTTTTTAAAGATTTATTTATTTATTTATACAAGCACTGGGTACAGTCAGAAGCGTGGAAGGGTGAGAGAATTCACTAGAGCCAGAGCGGGGAGCAGAGCAGGCAGAAGGACCAAAGTACACTGCTGAGGGGAGCAGCGGGTGGCAGGAGAGGTCTGCGGGCCATGTGGGACCCTCCTCCGGTGGCCGGGGAGCAGCCGGGGATCGAACCCAGTGCTGCAGAGGCTGCGGGCAGCTTCGCAACCCAGCGCTCAACCGCTGCGCCACCGGGGAGGCCCATGTCCAGCACTTTTTTGATAATTTACTCTGCTTCTCAGGATTCCAGGCACAAGTATTCTTACAGGGAAGAAGAGGTCAAGCATAATTGTCAAGTACCTACTGAGGATGGAGTGTTTGTCACCTCCTAGGAAGCTGACATGAGTCAGTCTACCATGTGTTTGATTAGGCACAAATGCTCATCTACTGAGGCATAAACAATGTAAGCCTTGTGTGGGCAGGGAGTTTTATCTTTTTCTATGCTGCATCCTTAATATCTAGGGCAGTTCCTGGTCATGAAAGCACTCAATGCATCTTTGACCCTCCCACCTCTACTCCTTCTATCTTGCTTTGCCTTCCACAAAGAATCCACAGTGTAAGAATAAGTGCTGATCAGCAAACAGGTGAAAATAATCTGCTATTTCATGATGACTCCAACACCAGCCTCCCTGAATAAACCCCTAACCAGCACAGTAGCGGTCATCTGCCCCCCCTAGAATGCCTCTTTAAGAAGAGACACAGATGACAATAAATAAATGCAGTTGGCTAGCTCAGCCAGAAGGAAAAGCTTCTGGGGGTTGTGGGTTTCCTCTGAGAGCTCTGGGATTTCTGCTTGGTGTTCACAGTTCTCCATGTATGGACATCAACAAATCACTGCCAGAGGAAACTCATTCTTCCCTTCTCTCTATGATGCAGGAGGGTCAGAAATCCTGGGTCCAATTCTAGTTAATGAGTTAGGTGTCGGTAGGCAAATGACTCAATCTCTCTGGGCCTCATTATTTTAATTAAGAATTGTTCCAAGCTTTGAATGAGAGCATACTTGAGAAATCCTTGACACCATTGCATAAAATAATGTTTTCCTCACTCATTTCCCTAAAAATGTGCTTAGATGGTAATTTGGAAGTTGTAGAATAGAAACCTAACCCTGAGTGCAGAACCCATTCTCCACTGACTCTCTGTCACAAAGCAGAGAGCAAAAAGACCCAGAAACTTTCCAAGAGGCCTATCCCTTATCCCTATCAACCCTGTAGGGGAATGTGGCATTTCATTCCTTCTACAAATATTTACTGAACACTTACTACATGCATGGCCCTGTGGCATGTGGAGAGGAACCCATAAACTTCCTCTGTGACCTAACACCTTCTAGAGTCAGTCCCTCAGGGATTAGCATTAGGTCCTATGCATATGCAAATCCCACAAAGAGGCCAGAGGCAGGCCCTGCACAACAGCACCCTGGAGTTACACGTCAGAGTGTCCTTCCCCCACAGCAACATGATTCATGAAGCCACCTCATGCCCAGAAAATTTATGAGCCTGCAGATGCTTCCTAGAGCCTTATATAATTTTTTCACAGAGCTGTGTTTCATACTTGATAAAAAGCCAAACAAAAAAAATAATTTAAGCTAATGTTTTCCAACAATATATTCTTCTTAGAAAAAGAAGGCTTAGTCCTGAGGAATAATAAAATGCCAATACTTAGAAAGTAGTGGCCTATTTCTGTATATAATTGTCTAGAAGTAAAATGTTACATGATACAAAATAACAGGGCATCAACACACTAGATAAACAGGACACGCAAACAAGGTCTGTTGACTATGACATAAGCTGTGATCTGTTGTGGATTAATAAATGAGAAATTTAAGTCAGGGAGGAAAAAAAAAACATTTCTCCATGGTACACCTAGATTCCAAGCAACCTAATGATTTTTAGATCCTCTGGACAAACCCTACTTGGAAAATTCCAAAGATTTATGTGATAACAGCAGAGATCAGGAAAACATTAATGCAATGAATGTGTGCTGCCTGCTAGAATCACATCAGCAAAAAGAACACAAAAGTCAAGTAAACTTTGAATCAGTTTGCTTCGAAACTGATTTCTAAGCAAAGTTAGTAAATAAGAAAAAAAACACAAAAAAGAAAAAAGAATTTGGATCTAAATGGAGTCATTAAAAATATCTGTTAGCATAGAAAGTTGTTCACAATAAATTAAGTAAAGAGAAATTACAATGTAATATATATAGATGATCTCATTTTTTTGTCTATTAATAGAGGTAGATATATATATTTCCTTCTGCCTACATAGATTGACATATACTCAAAAGTATAGCAGTATATTCACTCCATGATTGTATTAATTTCCTGTTGCTGCTATTCCAAATTATCACAAGCTTGGTGGCTTAAAATAACACAAATTTATTTGCCTAACTCTGGAGGTCAGAGTTTAAATTCAAGGTACTAGCAGGGATGCATTCCTTTTTGAGACATTCGAAGAAAATGTGTTTTCTGGCCTTTCCCAGATTCTCAAGGTTGCCCTCATTCCTTGATTTGTGGCCCCTTCCTCCATCTTCCAAGTTGCAGCCTACCATCTTCTCTCTGTCACCTTTTGCTTCCATCTTACAAAGACTCTTGTAAGTATATCAAAATTCCCTGGATGATCCAGGATCCTATCTCAAGATTCCTGATTCCTACATCGATGCATCTGCAAAGCCCCTTTCCCATGCAGGGTAACATATTCCCAGGTTCTGGGGACAGGACAAGGACATCTTTTGGGGCCACTATTCTGCCTTCCACATTAACAATGCTTATTCTTGGGTGAGGGAGTTATGAGAAATTTTTGTTTTCTTTATCTATTTTCTTTTTCTAAAGTCAATAATCATTTGTGTAACTTCTAAAAGGGAATTTGCTAGCAGGGTGACAAAATGTTCTAAAACTGGACAAGGGTCATGGTTGCAAAGCTCGTGACATTGACTAAAAGTCACTGCATTTTTTACTTAAAATGGGTCAAATTTACAGTGTACAATTTTATCTCAATAAAGTTATCACAAACCAAATACAGTGGGTTTGTGACTTACTTCCAAATGACTCAACAACAACAATAAACCAAAATGTAATGATAGAGAGAAAATAAATAAACCAAGATGTTAACAACTGGTGAATTAAGTAAAGTTCATTGTATAGTTCTTCCAACTTTGGTGTATGTTTAAAATTTTCAGGAGGAAAAGAAGAAATAACAGAGCATCTCTAGAAACCAAAGCTCTTGGGGCAATTGCGTACAGAACTGAACTTCAACATTTTGGCTCTCAGGGCACCCTGGTGCCAAGTAACATGGAAGCAGCGAGTTAGAGCTTCTTAGTTTAACCTCAGGAAGGCAGATGTGCTGACTCACCTCTTCCTTCCTCTCCATAGGCCAGGTGAGGGGGAACCACAATCCTCCGCTTCTCCCCGATGCAAACACCAAGTAAACCTTCATCCATTCCAGGAATCACGTAGCCCTGCCCAATGTACGTGTCAAAGGTGCGGTTCCGAGAGTAGCTAGGAAAGAAGAAAGGAAAGATGAAACGGCTCACAAGGGTCGCTATAGCAGCTGGGTACCCCAGTCAGCTCCACGAGCCAACAGGACGCAGAGGCCTCGAGCCCCAGGACATGGTGAAACACAGAATCTGAGGACGCAGCCAGGAAACATGCTCCCCTGAAATGGAGGACAAGAATACGACACAGTGTGGGAGCAGCATCCACAGAAACAGACCTGGGGAGACTCCCTCCAACCTTCAGGTTCCGACAAGCACATGGAAGGAGAAGCAACCACGCAGAAATGTGGCTCACGCAAACTGGTCTGCATGTTTATTAATGAAGATCAAGGGGGCCCTTGTCAGAAACTCAGGGTGTACCCCAAGGACAACGTCTCTAGAATCCAAAGAGATTATCTGTATATGTGGGATAAGAATATACTGGGAGCAATTTAACTCTGCAGTCTCTAGAAGAGTCGGGGTGAATGCTCCCTGCTGTAATCTCTGCTCAACAAACTACCTTCTGGTGAGTACTTGGGTTTCCCAAGTGCCTCTGGCAGGATGCCCAAACATTCCACCCTGTGGAAGGATCCAACCTCCGTATAAATTGCCAGTTGAGTCTGATTATTATGGCTGGTGAAAATAAGAATCAGTCCCCAAAAGTCTGACCATTTAGAATAAAACAAAAAAACATGATTTGCCACGTCTACTACCAAACTCTCAACCACACTGATCTGCGCCCATCACCACCCCCACCCAGTGCAGATGTGGCAAAAGTTGTCCTGAAATTGTCACTCAGCCCTGCCTCCTGAAACACAGCCAATTTCCCCAGAAAAGATGGCCAGCAGAGGGGGCCTGGAAGATGAAAACCTCTGAGGGACTCTCCTCAACACCCCTCAGAGAACACAGAGCCAAGGGGCATGAAGAAATGGTAATAACAGATGATCCTCCTCATCCAGAAAGCATATTATCTGCATAAACTCTTCCAGGAGGCTGTGGAAAAATGACTCTTCCCCAAATTGAAAAGAGCCACCCCACCCTCCACTGAGCAGCTCCAGATCTTATCCTCTCAAGAGGCCATGGAGGCTAGGAGGGGAATTACAGGAGTAAAGAAAGGGTAGATTTGGCTCTCTACCTTCCCCAGGTCACTACCACTTTGGCAGGTACTTTTCTATGTGTTGTTTTGTTTTGTTTTTAAAGATTAATTTATTTATTTATACAAGCACTGGGTACAGTCAGAAGCACGGGAGGGGTAGAGAATTCACCAGAGCCAGAGTGGGGAACAGAACAGGCAGACAGATGAAATACACTGCTGAGGGGAGCAGCGGGCGGCAGGAGAGGTCTGCCACGCCATGTGGGATCCTCGCCGGCGGTCAGGGATCGAACCAGCGCTGCAGAGGCTGTGGGCAGCTTTGCAGCCCAGCGCTCAACAGCTGCTCCACCAGGGGAGGCCCTGGCAGGTACTTGTTGATCATCACAGAGTGTAGCTCTTTGCTAGGCATTTTGGGAAGAGCTGCCCTAATCTTCTAGTTCCATTTCTGGTAAATATTCCCTAACATCCCCAAGACAGCATCAGATTCTGCAATAACTGGGACCGCCAAGATCCAGCCCCAAACCAGGCCTAGTACAGACCAATGACACAGTGACCTTGAGGGGGTATGCTGGCCAGCACACAGTATCCCTGTGGCCCTGGACAGACAGTCCCACAAGTCCAGACAAAGACACTTCCTCGTGATGTGGTGGTTATTTTTTTTTTTTAAGATTTATTTATTTATTTATACAAGCACTGGGTACAGTCAGAAGCGCGGGAGGGTGAGAGAATTCACCAGAGCCAGAGCGGGGAGCAGAGCAGGCAGAAGGACCGAAGTACACTGCTGAGGGGAGCAGCGGGCAGCAGGAAAGGTCTGCGCGCCATGTGGGACCCTCACCTGGTGGCCAGGGAGTGGCCAGGGAGCAGCCGGGAATCGAACCGGCTGCAGAGGCTGCGGGCAGCTTCGCAACCCAGCGCTCAACCACTGCGCCACCGGGGAGGCCCTGTGGTGGTTTTTTTTTTCAGTCAACATTCCCCAATGGAAAAACTGAGAATTGTAAAATTTTCAATGCTCTCCCAAAATAATTTATGAATTTTTAAAACAATTCTAATCAAAATTGTGTGTGTATGGGGGAGGAGTGAGATTTTAAAATTCATTTGGAAAAACAAATCATTATGAATGCTGTCTTGAAGGTGTAAGATATAGCAAGCTCTTATTCATGTAAAAACATGTAAATGGACGGAAATATATATGAATGTATGTATTTCATTGTATGTGTAGGAAAGACCTATGAAATTAATAATACTGATTCCCTGTAAAGAAAGGAGCTGGGTGACAAGGATAGGAGGGAAAGTTTTCATTATATTTCCTATGCTTTTAGAATTTTGAACTATGTCAATGTATCACTTACTAAAAAAGAAGGTGACGTTTAAAGAAGAAAAAGAATAGCTTCTACCATATAAATTCAAAAGCATCAATAGCTAAAGGTGTGATTCTGGTCCAGGAATAGTTAAATCAATGGAAAGGGATAAAAATTCTGACAAAGACCCAAACATATATATAAGAATCTGGTACATAATAAAAGTTACATTTTAGATGAGAGAGGAAAGATAGAGTTATTCAATAAAGGGTGTTGGAAAAACTAACTAAAACCATCTGGAAAAAATAAAATTAGATTCTTACTGTCACACAGAACACCACAATGCATTCCAGATGGAGTAAAGATTTAACATGAAATCATTTATGAGAAAGGAGAGATACTGTGGAAAGTTGTTAATATTTACCTCAGACTGGTGAGTTTAAAAGGAACTGACTGGAAATATTGCATTTTATTGTGCACCTCTACAATATTTCATTTATACAATAATAACACAATACCTTTTAAAATAAAAATTCTAATAAAATATTTTCAAGGATTAAAAAAACAAAACCATTAATAGGACTTGAAAAAATACAGGCAAATATTTATATATTCCAGGGGAGAGAACAGACTTTTTACTTTATTAGCAAGTCATCAAAGACAGAATATAGAAGACTTTATATAAGACTAAGAAAACAAGAAAGGAGAAGTTGAACATATTTAGCAACATAAAATGTTTATATTTAAATCATTTCAAAATCACAATAATCAGATAGTATAAACAGTATGTTTTCAACAATAAACAGCCATGAGGGCTAATATCTTTAGTATATAGAGTATATATTGTCAAATCAGTAGGAAAAGGACAAATATCAATACTCTCAATATAAAAACAGGCAAAAGATATGAATATGAACAAAAGACATCCAAAGAGTCAATAAACAGTTGAAAGAATTCCAACCTCAACATCTAAGAAATCTAAGAAACTCAGATTAGAACTACAACGTTAATTTTTCTCTATAAATTGACAAAGATTACTTTGAAATGATAGCCAGTGTTATTGTTTTCAGGGAATGATGGCACTCTTAGTGATGGGGAGTGAAATCTCCTTTGAGGACAAATTAGTAATACATATTAAAAGTTATAAAAATACACATAACTTCAGACCCCAAGATTTTTCTAGAAATCTATCCAAGGAAACACTTTTATGCTTTAATAATTGCTACAAAATAATTATTGTAGCCCTATTTAGAATGCCAAAAGGTAGAAAACATCATAAGTAACAGACAAAATGGACTAATTATCTAAATTAAAGCAAACCTGTACAACAGAATATTATACAGCCATATCATAAGGATGGGCTAGATCCCAATGTACAATGTGGAAAATGATTTGAAACCAAAGAAAATTGTGGCTCCATTATTAGGGAACGAAATCTAGTGAACACTAGAAAAACAGTCTTTCAATTAGAAATACAACTTCAGGGAATAAAAGACAGAACCAAGCTCCTATGTACAAGTAAGAACATACAACCACAAGTGCCCTGAAAGTTTTTGGTAATAGAAACAGAATAAAACAATTCAGATGTTAATTACTAAGGGAATTATTAAATAAATATGGTATATTTACCCAATGAAACACACACACACATATATTTACATACATAAACACACACTACATTTCTCATTGTGCATTAATAAGGAACAATCCCAAGGTGAAAAAAGGCAAGCAGCAGGATAGTATTAAAATATGTAGAATATATAGTATGTAACATACTCTATACCATATTCTATGTGCTATATACTATACAGGGGGAAAAAATTTGTATTTGCTTATATCTGCATTAGAAAAAAATGACATACAGGAAAAATAAAAAAGAAAATGAATAAATAAAAGTGATTAACAAACAATAAGGGACTAGCAGAGAGGGGGATTTGAGATAGGACTCATGAAACAACATATCTTAATGCATATTTTAATTTTGAACATGTGATTATTATTTTTTCCCCAAAAAAATCAAAAGAAGAGAGTCTAAGAATAAGAAGGATGAAATATTCAAATAAAATATTACCATATAAAAATTCTTGTGTAATGTTTTTGGATGACTAAATAAACTAGAAGTCTATTACCTCAGAGAGACAGGTAGATTGCTGTCTCCACTTGTTTGCTGTAGAGGAAGCTAAAGGAGTGGTTTCCAAACAACACATGCCACTTAAGTGAGCAAGACATACCAAACAGCCTGCCTACTGCTGCTCAGGCCATCTGCACAACTGTAGGTTAAGCCCAGGGAACAAAACAAAACTTTGAATAACAACAGAGGATCGGTAATCAGCCTCTGCAGTTTTATGAGGGAGTTCAGTGCATCCAACCAGCCTTTAAAGTCCGCAAAGCACTTTCATATACCTTAACTCTTTATTCTGACCATCCTTTTGAGAAAGCTACTCATAACAGGAAACACATGCTATCCAAAGTCACCACACCTAGAGATTGGAAGCCAGGGCTCCTGGCACCAAGTCAGTTCTCTTGCCATCAGGCTACTTCTCATCTTGGACCCCATAGTTGGGTTTAGATTTGGATAGTCAAGGATAGTGTGGGGGGGATGGTGGGTTTCTAGGATGAACCTCTTCTGTTTTCCAGCAGACTCATCTTCCACAGCCCGTTCTAACAGTCTCTGAGGGAATTCAGCAGGAAAAACAGAAACCTGTATTTAAGTTGAAAATACTAACCCAAGGGCCTCCCCGGTGGCGCAGCGGTTGAGCGCTGGGTTGCGAAGCTGCCCGCAGCCTCTGCAGCACCGATTTGATCCCCGGCTGCTCCCCGGCCACCGGAGGAGGGTCCCACATGGCGTGCAGACCTCCCTGCCACCCGCTGCTCCCCTCAGCAGTGTACTTCGGTCCTTCTGCCTGCTCTGCTCCCCACTCTGGCTCTGGTGAATTCTCTCACCCTCCCACGCTTCTGACTGTACCCAGTGCTTGTATAAATAAATAAATAAATATTTAAAAAAAAAGAAGAAGAAAATACTAACCCCAAACCAGCACTGACAGGGCACTGAGACCATAGTCAGCAGACTATACCTAATAAGACATTCTCGTGAGTGAAGGCTCTAGTCATTTCCATACCTGGAATCAAAGAAGGTGCCATCCAGAAGCGTGCCATTGTAATGATACCTGAGAAAATCCCCACTTTGACTTCGTCGCTCACAATTTTCAGGTACTACCTTATTTTCAATAGAAATGCTGTCCTTGGGGTTATGGAGGTCCAAAAGTGCTACATCAAACACCAGAGATGCCTGACCAGGAATGTCTTTTCCTAGAGCAGAACGGAAGAAGATGATGAAATCAGGACACCAGATTTAGGAAATAATTTAACTACAACTCAGCTGCCACTGTGTTGGTGTTAATCATTCCTCGAAGTTTTCATGTGTTCGTCTGCATCTTGAATGGTCCCCATGGAGTCTATTCTGGTTCACCATAGTACCCAAAATGAGCTGGGTAGGTTAATATGAAGTCTTACTTCCCCAGATAAAGGTGTAAACTGATATTATTGACATGAGAGGTTACTCTGATCATATTTTCTATGTGCTGGCATCAGCTGTTCCTGCAAAGATCAACATCAACGAATAAGTAACTCTAAGACCAGGTCCCAGATTTCCTGGCATGAAGTTAATTCTCTTGCCATCTCATCTGGACTTCATAGATGGTGAGTACCCCATAGATGGGGTCCAGCATTTTGGGTAAAAGGAAGTTAGCTGACAAACCACCTACCTCAACACTCTTACTTGCCATTTGTTATACATTATACCCTGAAAAGGAGTAGGCCTGGCAAGTGAGCCAGTGGGCATACCAAGCCTATGCTCCTGCCACTGGCTCTTTGGCAGAGTCCACTTCTCTGTCTCCTTTCCCTCAGAGGAGTGATGAAATCTGCTGAAATTGGGCTGTTGAGGCAGCTTCTGGAATGCAAGGTGTGGTCAATCCCTGATGTGTGGGTGTGTGGGTGATAGAATATTAATCTTTTGCACTTTTCTGTATCTTCTCATTTAAAGAAAAAAAACTTAAAAATAATCCCAGGGTTTACATTTTTGTAGCACTATCATGTTCTAATTGAACATCTGGTTTTTTAATATAACTTTATTAGAGCTATAAACTCCCAGACCATAAAAGTCACCTAAAATTATACTGGATGGCTGAGCATAGTATTAAATATATAAGGTATTTTAAAAACAACTATTTTAAATAAACCATCTTATCAAAAATAGTTAAATAATTATGCATTAAAAATAAATAATATTCCATATAGTAGGCTAGGTGTGTAGTTTTGCTAGGTATGTTGTATGCATGTAGATGATGTTAAAAGGATTTAGCAGCTAAGGTGAATGATCTACACTAGTCAAAGATGAGACAATTTGAGCATCAATAAGAGTGATAACATATCTTGAGGAAAGGAAAAATAAGATCTATTTACAGTAGTCATTTCCAAACTTTATTTTTCGTTTACCAGGAGACTTCCTCCCTACCTCCATCTTTTCAAAGAAACTGTAGATTCCCAGCAAATAAAATATGTTTTATTTTATTTGGACAGGAAAGAAGGCAGAGCCCCATGCACCCAGGCTTCCCTCTCCTCCTGCTCCATAAACCCATAGGGACAGAAACAAAGCTCAGGTACCACTGTCAGTAGTCTTTACTAAACAACATCATGTTTTTATTCCTCGTCTTAACTACGTATGTCTGCTCGCTTTAATGCCCAGAGGTCTCTGTCATATCAGCCTATAAGGATGATTAAATGTGCCTGAAATTCAAATATTAGTAACTGAGAAATTTTACTTATCAGACAATATTCTGTTTTCCCTCACAGTGCAACTAAAACAGGACACTAATTAAAATCAATGCACTTTCTAACATTATGTTTTGTATTTGTCCACAGAGCTAATTTCATAGGTAAAACCCAGCAAAGTACCCATCAGGGGAAAAAGGCAATTGTGGCACTCTGTGCTAAATTTCTTCCTTGATGTCTACAACATTTAGACTATCTAATTCAAATCTCTTTTGGGAAGACATAAGCTGAAGAGATTGGTGGCCAAGGTCACAGCTTATGAAGAGTGTCAGAGGGTTTACTTATGAATGCCAATAACCATGAATGAAGAAGAGGTTTCTGCAAGTCACTCATCAGACAGCAGATAATCTAGACCAGCACCGTCCCACACAACTTTCCCCAGTGATGGAAATGCTCCATACGTACCCTATCCAATATTTACCCTTGAAAATGTGACCATGTGCCAAGGAACAGAATTTTATTTTATTTTACTTTAAATGCAAATAGCCTCAGGTAGCTAATAACTACCAGAACAGACAGAGCAAGTCTAGACCAACAGTCACATGTAAATGGAACCATCATTGCAATAACAATAAAGACAGATGAGGGTGGCTCAAAGAATGAGAAGGACTTACCATCTCCATCTTCTCCATAGGCCAGAAAGGGGGGGATGGTGATGATGCGCTTTTCCCCCACACACATGCCCAACAGCCCTTTATCCATTCCAGGAATCAGCCAGCCGATACCCACATAGGTGTCATATGTTTTCATGCGGTTATGACTGAAAAACAACAGAAAAGGGATAAGATCCACAGTAGGAGGGTGCTTCGAACACATCCCTTGATGAGTTTTGTGTTAGCCAGATCTCAGCTAAACAGTGAACGCATCCCCACCTCTGGAAACCGGTGTTTTTGGAGCTCTGCTACCAAACTGAGCAGAAATTCTTAAGTTAAAAGTACATAGTTAGGGCCTCCCTGGTGGCACAAGGGGTTAAGCACCGAACTATGAAGCAATTTGTAGCCTCTGCAGCACAAGTTTGATCCCCAGCCAGCCAGAGAGAAACCCACATGACGAGGTAGACCTCTCTTGTCTCACCCTCTGCTCCCCTCAGCAGTGTACTTTGGTCGATCTGCCTGTTCTGTTCCCCACTCTGTCTCTGGTGAATCCTCTCACCCCCCGCATCACTGGCCTATACTCCAGCTCTTGTATGCATAAATAAATAAATCTTTAAAAAAAAAAAAAGCACATAGTTAAACCATAGTGATTCCCCCAAATAGACCTGTTCTTCTACTAGCTAAACACACAATAATGACAGGATAGAGTTCACTGTTCCCCCAATTGGCACTTGCTCCTCCTATTCTCTGTAGCTTCATATACATTCAGTGTATACTCCGCCTTCCATGGGAAAACTCTAAAAGTGAACCCAAAAACACAAGAACCTACTTGGAAATAAAACCCTTCACTTAACGGTGAGATCTCAAAATACTGCTAATGTAGATTAACATTGCTCTTAGATTTCCCTAAAACTTTGATTCTGAAACTACAGAGCATGAAATACCAACCACAAGTTTCAACTATAGGACTTGGGACTGATAAGTGTGTTTTTCTGGCTTCTCCACAGGCATAAAAAGTAGATGAGACAGAGAAACGAAAGGGCATGTCCCTGCTGCCGCCAAGAATATTTACCTTGAGTCGAACAACGTGCCATCCAAGAACGTTCCGTTGTAGTGGTACCTTACAAAATCCGACACCTGGATGGTCCGAGGACAACGGGGGGGCTTGAAATAAGTATGAATCTGAACCTGATCTTCAGAATTCCAAATATCCATCAGGAGTACATCAAAATGAAGCACTGAATTTGGAGGGATCACACCAGCTAGAAATTAAAAAGAGCTCACATTGAGAAGCTACTACCTTTGCAGCTAAAGAAACATCTAGAAAGCAGCTGAAGTGAAAGGAAAGCAAAAGGGCTCCAGGGGTCCCTGGTATACAGTTCCAAAATGAGCCACTCCCGCTCTCATCCCTCCAAATGAAATTGAAAGAGAAAAAAAGCAAGATTCTCCCCTCAGTGGGAATAAACATCCAATACACTTGTGTTCATGGTATCTTTCCTATAGAAGAAATAAACCAGAGATGAAATTTTGGCTCTGTCAATGTGAGGGGAGTTTCGCTGATTTTCATTTTCCCCAATCTAAAGCTTCCAAAGATTCTTTGGTCTGCCTGACCGTAAAGACTGCAAATTTTCTCAAATGTTCTGATGGTTTGTGCAGACGTGTTCACAAACACAAAACAAACACTTACAAACTCCTTCACTTCCATAGGCAAGATTTGGGGGGATCTTCACAAAACGTCTCTCGTTTACACACATCCCAACCAGAGCTTGGTCCATCCCTGCAATCAGTTGTCCTTTTCCCACAAACACGTTGAAAGTGGAGTCTCTGTCATAGCTGAAGACCCAAAAGGTAAGGAGAGAAAAACAAAAGTATAAATAATCTTTCCCTTAGTAAAGCCAACCTGTGAAAACATACCCAGGGACAGAGTGAGGTCCCTGCAAAGGAAAAAGTCCACAGAGGAATTACTGATACTGGAAATATCTTCACCAGACAAAACATAGAGGGCTGAGATTTTTAAGTTACCTTGAATATTGCCAGAAAATATAGTTAAATAAGCATAACCACCATTAAAAAAATTATTTATTTTTAGATTTTAAGTTTGTTTTGCAAAATACCTACCAGTTCTTCCACTGGGGGTGGGGGGGGAGTTGATTTCATTTCTCTGTGATTGGTACCTAAAAGCAACACTATATATACTAATATCAAAGTCTATATAGATACAGATATATTTAAAATCAGAAAGTTAAGCAAGGAGACAGCATGGTGGAGCATGAAGGGCACTTAAACTGTCTTAAGTTCAGGTTCCTCCATTGCAAAGCAGGAATAATAATAGCCAAACCAAGATCCGTGTGATATAACAACATGGAAAGTGCTCTGAAAGCCTAAGGGCTGTGCCACTACTACAATTATTGCAGGTAACAGAGTCTGATGTAGTCTTCAAATCACTAATATATGTTTTAAAGACTGACTGATGATGGCCTTAGGTTAGAAGATAATTAATGGAACTGTGGCTCTGACGCTCTTCCTCTGCAATGTCAAATTCAGCTACAACAAGGATTTGCCTATTAGGAGACTGCTAGGTGCTTAGGAGGAGATAAATGAAGTCCATGGCATGGACTTTGCCTAGCCACACCTTATAAAGTAGCAGAGACATCCATGGAGTTTCAGGGCTTGGTTAATAAGAATGAAACACTTAAATAACTTATAAGTCCAAGGTTGTGGCACTGATGCATATAAGACAAAAGACATACAAGAAAATGCGCTCTGGTTCTTTATAAATAATAAATTTCACTAGCACGGAAGGATAAGCACATTGAGAGAAAACTGCAGGTTACAGAGCCACAGTATAAAAGCATTCCATTTTTAATTTACATATATAGATTCATATGAAAAAATCCACAAGGTAATATATAAAAATGTTATCAATTATAAGCTATGGGTAGGAGATTTCAGGTGATATAATCTTTGTTCTCTTTAATTCTCTGAATTTTCAAAATGACCATGGAATACTTGGGTACTAAAACATTGACACCTGCAGGAGGAGAGTGTGCCCTTCCCTTGGTATATTAAGTCCACCTTTTCCTCATTTTGCTACTGAACAGCTCAGAAGAGCAGCACAGTCCACCTTGCCACTCCTCATGGCAGCTCCCTCTGACCTGCCCCCCTTCCCTTTCTCCTCCTAGTTTTACAGTGCATTTTAATAGCCTTCCTTTCTCCAAGAGCAGTGAACAGAAGGCAAGATTTCAAGTTCAGGCCAGCAAGCCAGAGGACAAAAGCACATGGTCAGCTCTGTGCCAAGACAGCTTTACACCTCCACCCTCTATGTCCAAGGGACCAAGCCCTGACTGCTGGAATGCTAGCTCCTGAATTTCACTTGGCTGGGGCCCGGCCCTGAACCATCATCTAAGTGTCAGGTTTATATTAGAAATGAACCAGAACTCAAGGCTTCAAATACTCCCCAGATACAGAACACACACAAACAACAGCAATGGACAATTTGCAAACTATTTCCTAAGCATGTTTTTCATGCACAAAACCTGCATATTATTCTTGAAGTTAATAGAGTTTTTAATAATCACTATTATTTTGAGGTTATTTATTACGTGTGAAGCACAATGACAAATCAGACTTTTCTATATACTACCTAATTTCATCTGCATATAACACTTTTTTTTTAAGATTTATCCATTTATTTATACAAGCACTGGGTACAGTCAGAAGCGCGGGAGGGTGAGAGAACTCACCAGAACCAGAGCAGGGAGCAGAACAGACAGAAGGACCCAAGTACACTGCTGAGGGGAGCAGCGGGCAGCAGGAGAGGTCTGTGCGCCATGTGGGACCCTCACCTGGTGGCCGGGGATCAAATCAGGGCTGCAGAGGCTGCGGGCAGCTTCGCAGCCCAGCGCTCAACCACTGCGCCACCGGGAAGGCCCTGCATATAACACTTAAAGGTGGGTGCTGGTACTTGGGGCCTTCAGGAGTGAGAAAGTTTCCCAGTGTCACAAAGTTACATAAGTGGGGGAAAAAAGACTAGAATCATCTGACTTAGTGCTGTCTGACTCTTACCCTCCAGGTGTGGAGCCTCCCTAAATGGTGAACAAAAACTGTTATTGCCTTGTGGTATTAATTTCTTCACTTGATGACTGCCTAAGTAAAGTGCTAAGAACAACACCTTTCTAAAAGAAAAATGTATTATTTACATACATAAGAAACTAACAATCCAAGACCAGTCTTTATCTACTGCTTAAAACTCTGACCATCTGGAAAAATAAAGTCAAACTGAGCAAATTTGTGCTGATGAGCACAACTGGCACAAATTTATGTGCAGCATCAAGCCCAGAACTAATTATTTTTGCAGGTTGGGGATAAGCACTTATACAGCCTGTCTCAGTATCTGGTTGATTTACACTTTTTTGCAGATATCCCAGGTAAATTCCTACAGGAACCATGAGACATCCAAACTAGGCAATTTCAGGAAAGTGTAATAAAGGGACTATGTACAAAGGTGTGTGTTCAGGGTGCTGAGAAACATAAGAGAATATGTAGTAACTCTGGGGACAAGTAGGGGGTGCTGTTGTCACACCTGGGCCTGAAGGATCCAGGTACAGAGTAGTCCAGGGCAGCTGACAGGAGCAAGAGCCTCTCTCCAGCCTAGAAACGCTATCCACGTTGACTCTAAAGGCAGTGAACTAGGGGAATATATATATATCTTCAGCTCATTCTCCTCTCTGCCTCTGATCTCCTACTGATGTCCCATTGGCTGAGCTTAACCAAAAGCTAGGCAACAGTGGTGGTTGATAAAACCCCTACTATGCACACGGACTATACAGATGGCAAAAAGCCAATGGAACTGACTGCACCTAAAAAGACAAAAGGAAATTATCCAGCACATCTAACACCCACTTTCCTCTCCACCAGCTTCTTCCCCACTCCCTACTCATTCAGTCACAGCTGCAGACCTCCAAGCACTGCTCCTGTGGGATAGAGCTGCAGCCCTTCAAGATTATCAGCCCAGGGAGGAGATACCATGGAGACCCATCATACTCAGCTCATTAAACTGCCTGCACACAAGTGCACATTATCTCACAGCATATTCCTCAGGATAAATAACTACCCTTGTGACTGTTTTTAAAGCATAAACCCTACGGCTCTATTTATAAATGTAGGTTTTAGTCTTCAGTGAGGGTTAACTTTTAAAAGAACATAAGGGAAATTCAAAACATTCTATTACACTAAGGTTCAATACTTGACCAGGGTATCCCAATATTACCTCAATTAAAAATAAATAAAACCAATTTTTTTAAATTTAAAGAATCATTCCATTAGAAAAGAAACAGAAAATTGCCCCGTAGTTAGAACTAAAACCCTGATTAGCTATAAGAGGAAAAGTGAGCGTTCCTAAAATGCCAGTTTTAGATTCAGTTTGGAGAAATAAAAATAGAATACTTCCACCTGCCCATCTTTATTAAAGTATAAATGACAAATAAAAATTGAACCTAGGTGTATCTAAGTTATAAGGTATATAACTTGATGTTTTCAATGTGAAACAATCATCATACTTGGGCAATTAGCATATTCATCACATCATATAGTTACCATTTCTTTCCTCCCTAGTCCCTCCTTTCTTTCTTCTTTCCTGGTGAGAACACTTGCAATCTCCCCTCTTAATAAATTTTATACAGTACAAAATACTGTATTGTTAACTGTATTCACATTGCTATACATAGACTAAATAGATCCTTTTGAACATTAAAGGAACCACTTCATTTTGAGAAGTCTATAACAGAAGAGAAGCGAGGTAAGAGCCAGCGCCCCCAGGCATGGAACCATCTTTTGGAGTGCCTCAAAGTTGGTACAATTTAGGACCAACCCAGAGGACTGGAGCAAATGGGATCTGACTAACTGTGGTCCTACCAAAGCCCTTGGTGCAAGTAGATGATGGCAAAGGTTCATGGGAGATTTGGAGGTGGGATTGCTATGGTGGCTGCACCTGAGAGAGGTAATTCTATACTGTCAAAACACTAGCAAGGATGTAAAAGAATGATACTTCAGTAACAATAAATAAATTAAAAATAATAATAATAAAATTAAACTATGAAAAAGAAAAGAAATTCACAAAAAGTAGAAACCCATCTCTTACCTGTTTACCCACTCTGGGATAACCCAGGGAGGTTCAATACCCTCCCATAGCCAAATTCCACTCTGATCTGGGGCCTGGGTGTAGACTAGAAAGGAGGAAAGCGAAGTCTGACTTTTCTGGCTCCCTCCTCTCTCCCCATACGACATACTCCCAATTGAGGCGTCCCAGACCCTTTGTCTAAGAGTATTTCCTTTAAACAGCCCCTTCCATCTCTCACCCTCCCGTGCTTCTGACTGTACCCAGTGCATGTATAAACAAAACACACAAATAAATAAATAAATAAATAAATAAATAAATAAATAAATAAATAAACATGCCTCTTAAAAAAAAAAAAAATAAACAGCCCCTTCCACCAATAGCAAGTATGTCCTAGCAAAAGGAAAAAGCAAGCAGTTAATAAACTATCAAATTGCTAGTCTGCTACCCAGGTAGACAGTTGAGAGAATGCTACAATAAAGGAAGCGAGTGAAAGTGATGAAGAAGAAATGCGTGAGGAGGGAACTGCATACATTCATCCCTCCACAGAGGATCAGACCCTGAATGTGAGCAACTGGATGATCTTTGGCACATTAAAAATCACCAAAAGAAAAACTTTTCAAAGTAAAATCATCAATGACACTGCTGTTAAGGGGTTTTGTTTCTAAACAACGGTGCAAGTTAAAATGTCAGAAGCCTATAAATAATGCATATTTTACACACACTCCCAGTTCAGAAAAATATAGCCAAATTAAATTAACATGAAAGCATAGTTGCTCGGAAAGATCCACAAATAAAAATTAAAAGCTATGCCATTAAGTCTACACAAGATGTTAAGAAAGCCTGCCAAATGCCTCAGATCCTAGTAAGAAGAATCTCTAGGAAGCTAGAATCTTCCAAATGTTCGCAGAACTAATTTGGATTAACACACAAGCAGCAGCTTCCTTTTATCATGTGACTTTTCCATAGGAAAAGTCATGATTATGCAGACACACGCTTTAAAAGCTTCCTATTGCAGTGAACATCTCCTGACCTGACTGGTCTTCCTGCCACCACTTACCCCCTCCACTCTGGCCTTACACCACCTGGGGTGCTGCCCAGCCTCCTGGCTCATCTCTGGGAACCAGTCCTGCCAAAGGGGTGAGCCTTACCCCCCCTTCACTTAATAAGCAACTTAACACTCTCCAGGGTGGACACCTGACCAGTTAAATTCTCTCCTAGGAATGTGGAATGGAGATAGATTCCAGTAAGCATTGCTGGACCAAGAAGCTGCCTATGTGGCATGGAGGGCCTGTTGGAGCTCTACCTCCAGGGAGGGGACAATGAAGCCCCTCCGCAAGCCCTCAGGAGATGTAGAAAGTCATTTCTAGTCATAATTCTGGATCCCCATGAGGAATTAGGGATCCATCCAATAAATAAATAAAAAGAAACCCTCTCTTTGTGTGGGTTTCTTTCTCCCCCACCACTTCAACTTAAGGACAGCTTGCTGTTTTCTAGAAAACAGACAATTTTTTACTCCAGTTTTAGATTCACAGCAAAACGGAACAGATGGTACAGATTTCCCATATGCCTCCAGCCCCACACATGCATGACTTCATCTATCATCAATATCTACCACTAGAGTAGTACACTTGGTACAGTCAATGAAACTACATTGATACATCACAGTCACCCACGGTCCACAGTTTACATCAGGGATCTCCCTTGGTGTTGTACATTTTATGGCTTTGGAAATATGCATAAGGGCATGTATCCACCACTGTAGTATCATACAGATTAGTTTCACTAGAGAGCAGGAGTTTTGGTCTGTTTTATTCTTGACTACCAGCACCCAGAACAGTAGGTATTCAATGAATATTTGTTGAATGAATAAATAAATAAATGAATGAATATGTAAATAAGGCTGATCTCTGTTAATGAGTCCATGCTCCTTTTAGAGCAGGTATAGGTACAATAATATCACTGAATGTCTGGACTTAAGGGGCAGCAGACAGGCCTGGAGGCTGTAAATGAGCTGACCAGATGCTTGTGCTGTCCACTCAAGGTAACAGAAACAAGATAAAGTCAGTCCCCAGAAGGAAATCAGAGCAAAGAGACGAGCCCTTACTGCTTACTGCTAGAGAGCCTATGGCACTCCTAAAGGCTAAGTGAGGAGTGGCTGACAAGGACTCCGAGGGCTGGGAAGTGATAAACCTGCAGCGGGAGCTGCTGTCTCCTTGGGTCTGGAGCAGCTGCCACAGCAGCATATCAATAAGCCCCTGGAAGCTCTGAAACAAAATTAAAACAGGACCAAGCCAGTGGCCAAGGGTTGAAGTGCTGGACTCCTGGCAACTGCAAAGGTCCTTAAGCTGAAAAGATACCAACTGCCCCAAGTGCCAGGCAGACTTGCAGGAAGAAAGCTCTGTGGAAAGAAAGGCCCTTTGAGGTTTATGACTCTGGTGAGGACACCAGGCATCCTTTTCTTCTGGACAAACCTTCCAAATCAACAGCCAAAGCCCGAGATACCTAGAGTTCAACTGCCCCAAGTTTTTAGTATAGGAACAGGCAAAATCATCCCCTCATACTTCACAAATTCCCAAAGGAAAGGTCTGAGAAGGAGACTCCCAAGTGAAGCCGTCACATGAGCCTTGCCCCTTCCATTCCCTTGTCTACAGGGCAACCACAGGGACTTTGGTAAAATGCGAGGTCTGAACCCTCAATCCCTAATTACAACTCTTCAGTAGCTTCCCACTGTCCTTAGACAAAGTCCAAATTCCATAGCTGGGAAACCTCACCGGCTCTCAAAAGCTGGCTCCAGCCTCCCTCTCTGGCCTCTTCTCTTCTCACTTCTCCTTTCCCTCCTCTGTCACACTCTAGCATATGTGGCACATTGCAGACCACAGATTCTAGAATCTGGCACTATATGCCTAGGTACAAAGCCCCCCTTCACTAGTAGCCAGGTACCTTGGGCAAATTACCCAAACTTCCTGAGCCTCTGTTTCTTCATTTGCAATGAACTACCTACCTCACAGCCTGTGAGACCAAATGAATTCACCTGAAATTAAATGAATTAATATATGTAAAGGCCCGTGGTAAGAACTATGTTTGAATTCTAGAGGAGAGAGAGAGTATGCGCTATAGTCTTTCTGTACTTATCACACTATGTAAGTACCTGGACTATAGGTGGTAGATAAGGGCGGGACATGCTCTTCAAGGGCAGATACCATGATTGAATAAATATACTTTCATGTATATATGCACTTTTGCTGTATCGTGACTCCTCTGCACTCTTTCACTGTCCCACACTGCCTCACAGTGGTTGCGATGCCTAGAGAGTAGAAAGTATTAGACAAAATATTCTAATGGGAATTACTAATTGCCATCAAAACAAACAGGAAATTCTTTACTATTTTCTAACTAATGAAGAAAAGGAAAGAAGATATGCAAATGACCAATAAGCACAGTCTCACTAAGCATTAGGGGAATGCAAATTAAAACCTCAGTGAGATACCAAGTCACACACACTAGGATAGCTAAAATCAAAATGACAAGCAATTACTTATGTTGGGGAGAATGTGAGAAACTAGGAACCTGGCTACATTGCTGGGGGAAATATAAAATGGTGCAGCCACTTTGGAGAACAGTTTGGAAGTACCTAAAAAAGTTAAATATAATTAGCATAGGATCCAGCAAATCTGCTCCCCAGAGAAATGGAAGCCGACACCACTACAAAACCATATGTATGAATATTCAAAATATCTTAACAGCCAAAAGGTATAAAAAACACAAATATCCAAAAACTAATGAATGGGTAAACAAAATGTGGTGTATCCATACCACAGATTATTACGCAGATTATTTCTTTAGAAAATAATCTTAGAAATGAATAATCTTTAGAAATGAAGTTCTGGCATGTACTGCAACATTGGATGAACCTTGAAAACATTATGCTAAGTGAAAGAAGCCAGTCATAAAGCACCACAAATTACAGGATTCCAGGTAGAGACAGAAAGTAGATTAGCTGTTACCTAGGACTGGAGAATCTAGAGTGACTGATAATGGTCCAGAGGTTTTGGGAATGATGAAAATGTTCTGGAATTAGATGGCTGTGATGGTTGTACAACACTGTGAATATACTAAAAACCAATGAATTGTACACTTTAAATGGGTGCACCGTGTCATTTGTGAATTATATAACAACAAAGCTGTTTTTAAAAACAGCAACTAAAACAACAGTAAGAATGACCACTTCTAAGTACTTGCTGGTGCCAGCTTTGGTATATTCACCGATTCTCTGGAATTTCAAAAAAAAAAAAAAAAAGAAGTGTATTCTTTAAAAGACAATTTCAGGAATGTGAGCAGCGCAGACTAGAGCACATAGCAGCGGTTGACTGACAGTTCTCTTTGCCTAGTCTCCTGATTGACTGAGAGAAGCACAGCCACAGACTTGGGGAGGCGAGCAGCCCAGAGTTGGAAGAAAAGGGGCCTGTGCATCACGGAGCTAAAACAGTGAAGATGGAGCAGGCTGGTGGTGATCTTTGGGCAAAGTTGAGAAAAGGAATCCTAGGAGGGTGCAAGGCCCCGTGGCAAAGCTGAGTGACTTGGTCTGGACTACCTGGTGCCCAATCAATCACCGGAAGGGAAGGGCGGTGGTAGTTACACACGTGGGCTCTGACTGGTGCAGCCTGGGTTTCCATCTGCCTCTGCTTCAGCAAGTTCCTCAGCCTCAGTGGCCTCAAATTACCGCACTGGTAAATGTGGATAATGATAGTATCTACCTCAGAGAATTTTAAGAGTCAAATGAGTTCATTATATGGAAAGTACTTAGAATTAAGCCAGGCACACTGAAATAACCCCATAAATGTTAGCGGCTGCTGTCATCACGATCTGCAAGAGGCATCTTCTGACTAGATACTCAAGGGACCGTCCAGAGAGAACAGTAAAGGGCGGGGCAGGCAGACATCAACACCTCCTCTTGGGGACTGAGGAGGCTCCAGGAATGTGTCCATTGTATACCGATTTAACGCTCAAGGTCCCTTCCAGAGTTCCAGTCCCGGGGGCAGAGGGAAAAACCAGGGGAGCTTAAGGATCGGGAGGCTCACCTACAGGGCCGAGGGGGTTATTAGGGTCCGGGAGCGTTAGGGTTGGTGGAGCGAGAGGAGGAGCGCAGGGGCGGAGCTGGGGGAGGTCCGTCGGGAGGGAAAGGCCTGTCCGGAGAGAGGGAAGGGAGAGCGATCGCCGCAGCCTCGGGAGGCCGGGACTATCGCTTGGGGCGCGGTACCTGGAGTCGAACTTCTGGCCGTCGGGGAACGTGCCCACGTAGTGGTAGCGCACGAAGTCGCCGCTGCGCACGGTGCGCGGGCACTCATCGGGCACAAAGCGCCTCTCGATCTGCAGCTCCGTGTCAGAGCCCAGGCCCAGGCCCGCCACGGGCGCCGCCTGCCCGGTCACCCAGAGCAGCAGCAGGAGCAGCGGCGGCTGCGGGGGCCGCCAGCCCCGGGACCTGGACGCCATTCCGGGCGGCTGCTTGAGGAGCGAGGGGCGGACGCAGGGCGCGGCGCGGAGCCGGGGGAGGCCTGGGAGCACTGCGGCGGATGCAAACGTGGAAAAGACTCCCGGCCCTCCCCGGGCGGCAGCCACCACCCCCTCTCTCCCGCCCCCCGCCCCCCGCACACTGCCGAGCGAGGGGAGGAGCCCTGCACCGCCCGGGCGGGTCCTAGGCGCCTGCAGCGTCCGGGAGAGGGCTGGCAACCTCAGCGGGGACCCATCCTGGAGCGAGACATCGTGAATTCCTCGGGAAGGGGCGGCGCCCCGAAGTCGGGAGAGAAAAGCGTCTACTGCCCTGGCCCACACCCAACTCCCGCCTGTCCCTGGAAACTGTCGGGATTTGGTGCCTGGAGAGCCTCTTACGTGGCCAGGGGTCCAGTTACCCTTTGCTGCTTTGGGGAGGGAGGCAACGTTGCATTTTTATTGTTTGTTTGGTTTAAACTTAGTCACAAGGATAGATTCTGCTCTTTAACAGACTGGAACCATTCTTCATGATTTTTTTCCCAGGATTTTCTTTTTTTTTTTTAAAAAAAAAAAAAAGATTGATTTATTTATGCATGCAAGAGCTGGGGCACAGGCCAGAGATGCGGGGAGTGAGAGGATTCACCAGAGACAGAGTGGGGAACAGAACAGGCAGATTGACTGAAGTACACTGCTGAGGGGAGCAGCAGGCAAGTCGGGAGAGGTCTGCTGCACCATGTGGGTTGCTTCCTCGCCGGCTGGGGATCGAACTCATGCTGCACAGGCTGCGGATTGCTTCCTAGTGCCGTGCTTAACCCCTTGCGCCACCAGGGAGTCCCCCAGGATTTTCTTTTAATACTTAGAGAGGGAGAGGCGTGTATTGTGAGAGTCCTCTGGGGTCCAGAAGAAGGTTTTAAGTTGCTGTGTTTTCTTTCCCCTAGCGATTAATGGGTGCGATGCGAGTTGAAACCTGGTAGCCAAATATCACATATACTTGACTAAGCCAGGTAGGACTTCGCGAGAGACCGGATGTGGTTAAATGCATCCTTACCTTAGAATTAGTGGTGTTATTTATTAAAACTTTGGACTAATGAAATAAAATCACCAAAAATTGCCTGACTTGATTGAAAAGTCAACAATCCTGATACCGAGCTTAGCAAAGATAACGAGAGGCGCGTGCGCCAGAGAGAATGAGATAAACTGGACACCTAATTTATAAATACAAACGCAAACTTATTAAATAAAACGTAAACAAATTGAATTAAACAATTTATTAATGAAATAATACACTATTATGCAGGCTACCTGAGTGATTTTTCACAAGTTAATTAAAGTCTCAGTGTCCTTTGTAAGATGAAGATAAAATAATAATTATAACATTATCATAGCTCTTTTAGATGCTAGGGATCTAATGAGAAAGTACATGTAGCAGAATAAAAACTCAAACCACCAAAAAAGGCCCTCCTTGTCCTAGTAGAGCTCATTCAATTGTGATAAAAATCCTATTGTTATAACAGGCTTGGCCTATACCTGTCATTGTTTGTGGAGCGCTTCTATTTTTGTCTAAATTTTTATGAATTTAAAAGGTTTTGTGGCCTTAGAGGACTAAACTACCAAAAAAGAAGGAAAGAAAGAAATCCTGTTTCTGTTCTTCATCCTATTAATAGGGTAGAGAAGGGAAAAATCCAAAACCCTACGGCCGCAGATTAAAGACATTTGATAAAATTCAACTGGTTCCAATTGTATTATAAACAATGTCCTTTTCACAATATATTTAGTGCCATGGGTTTTCAAATTTTTGTGCTTTTTGTTGGTATTTTTGCTATTGAAAGTGGTCCCTGAGTGTTGTGCTAAGTGCTGCCTTGTGTTCCTAAATGCAGGAAAGCTGTGATGTACCTCATGGGGAAAACAAACGAGCTTCTCTCAGAAGTGAGTTATAGTAGCAATGGGCAGAAGTTGAATGTAGATGAATCAGCAATATACACTAAATAAGGTGTCTTGAACATGAATAAAACAAAGCTATGTATTGGTCAGTTGACAAAAATGTCATAACCCAAGACTTGCAGAGCCTAAGTCTGAGCAATTGTTCATATTCCCTTATATAATATTTCTTCAGACTTTCTAGATCATCACTACTGAGAAGAGTGAGAATTAATTGCACTTGGAGTAGACTTGCTGGATCATATGACACTCTATTTTAAACTTTTTGAAAAACTGCCAAACTGTTTTCCAAAGTGACTGCACCATTTTACATTCCCACCAGCAATGTATGAATGTTCCAATTTCTCCATTTTCTCACCAACGTTGTTATTATCTAGCAGATAATAGCAAGCAATCAAAAAAGAAAAAAATGACCAGCAATCGGGAGAAAACTATTTTTATCTTGCAAATATTATGCAAGTGTTAACAGTGATTATTTTTGCATGTTGAAACTATGGATAGATTTTATCTTTTTGTTTTTTTTAACTGTTAAGCTGTGATAAACTTTGATCTATCACTTTTGTAATAAGATTAAATTTTTAATAAGGGGCCTCCCTGGTGGTGCAAGGGATGAAGTCTCAGCCCTATAAAGCTATCAGCAGCCACTGCAGTATGAGTTAGATCCCTGGTAGTCTGAAGCAGCCTCTAGTAGTGATGTACAACCAGGCTTTAGCTTCTCCAGAAATTTGCAGGATGCATTGAACAATGTATCAAACTAAGTGACATTCTCTCAAGTGAGTTGTTTTTTTTTCTTTTCTTTTTTTAAAGATTTATTTATTTATACAAGCACTGGGTACAGTCAGAAGCGCGGGAGGGTGAGAGAATTCACCAGAGCCAGAGCGGGGAGCAGAACAGGGAGAAGGACCCAAGTACACTGCTGAGGGGAGCAGAGGGCGACAGGAGAGGTTTGTGCGCCATATGGGACCCTCGCCGGTGACCAGGGATCCAACCAGCGCTGCAGAAGCTGCGGGCAGCTTTGCAACCCAGCACTCAACCACTGCGCCACCGGGGAGGCCCTGTATTTTACTTTTTGATAATCTTCATGACTTTCCCTCCCTAAAAAGCAACACTTCCACTCCAAATAAATCAAGGTCAAAATAAATGAAGAGCTCAAGATGACATCAGCCCCATTTTTCTGAGACCTGTGTTAAGTGGTTGAAAAACAGTTGCTAATTATAATCGCAAATGGTTCATCCAAAGTAACTGTCAAATTTGTTAGCATTTTTCCATTTCTGAAACATCAGTAAAGAAAAATCATTCTGGGGCCTCCTTGGTGGTGCAAGGGGTTAAACGCAACCTATGAAGTTATCTGCAGCTTCTGCAGCAAGAATTCAATCCCCTGCCAGGGAGCAACCCACATGGCGCAACAGGCCTCTCCTGACTCCCCTGCTGCTCCCCTCAGCAGTGTGTTTCAGTCAATCCATCTGTTCTGTTCCCCACTCTGTCTCTGTTGGATCCTCTCACTCCCCACACCTCTGGTCTGTACCCCAGTTCTTGCATGCATAAATAAATAAATCTTAAAAAAAAAAAGAAAAATCATTCTGGAGTAACAGCACCCTCATGGTAGTCCAATAGAGCAATCAAGCCATCTGGACTTGTGTTTTCACCAATTAAGAACTGGTAGTTTTAAAATTAGCAAAGATGTGCTTGATCTGTTCTGCAGCCTCAGCCATAAACATTTTACTCCTTCTAGCCTCTGTTCCTTAAGATTGCCCTTGACTGTTTTCATGTAATCACTGATGACCTTGTAGTAGGCTCCCTTTCTGAAGCTGATTTCTTCTGGTGTGGTTGGAGAAGATTTGGTGTCTTTTTATCTTTCTTCTTCCTTCCTTTTTTTATACCTTGATTCATGACTGTCATTTGTGGTTCATGTATGATCCTGTGTTAATTTTTTATTTTTGTTTATACAGTGTAATGAATAGCTATGAACCATCATCCAACCCAAGAACTAAACTAATATTACACATATTCAGGATAAAATACCTTTATTAGAAAAGAAAAAGTGTTATATGAATGAGCTTCTTTTTCACCTTACTTAGGGTTTAAATTGCCTTTTTTTTTCTTTCCTAGGGAAAATAAAGAAAGGAAAGTAAACCCAAAGTAAGCAGAAGAAAGTAAATAATAAAGACCACAGTTAAAATTCATGGACTAGGGCCTCCCTGCTGGCACAAGGGCTTAAGATGCAACCTATGAAGTTGTCCGCAGCCTCTGCAGCACAAGTTCAATCCCCCGGCCTGCCAGGGAGCAGTCCAACATGGCGCAGCAGACCTCTCTTGACTTGCCTGCTGCTCCCCTCAGCCATGTATTTCAGTCAATCTGCCTGTTCTATCCCCCTCTGTCTCTGGTGAATCCTCTCACCCCCACACCTCTGGCCTCTACCCCAGTTCTTGTATGCATAAATAATCATTAAAAAAAAATTCATGGACTAGAAGCAGCTAACAATCAAGAATATCAATGAAACCAAAAGCTGATCCTTTTTAAAGATTAATCAGATTAAAACATTTCTAGCTAGACAGAAAAAGAAAAAAAAAGGGAAGGTACAAATTACCAATAACATGAATGAGAGGGAGCATCTTTACAGATTCTATGGACAGTAACAAATCAATACGGATACAATATGACCACATTGATAACAACTTCCACAACTTAGATAAAATAGATAAATTATTTGAAAGTGATATGGTACAACAGGACATGATTGTATATTTTAAGCTGAGGAAGTTTGAGAAAACAGCAGAAGCAGCAAGGTTATTCTGACCTTTTCCCAACTCCTTCTCCCCTGAAACAGGTCATAAAACCCTCATGTGAGAGGTTTCCTCCTAGTACACAGGGGAATAGGAGCATCCTAAGACACTGGCAACAACTGAAGACAAAGGGACTCTGGGAAGAGTCCTACCAAACAGGCCTTGCTAAGCCCTCCTATTCCTTAGCCTATCACATGTCTACACCACTACCCAGCCTGCATCAAATCTAGCATATATTCAGGTCTAACTATTTCTTTTTATATATATATATATAATATTTTTTTAAAGATTTATTTATTTATTTATACAAGCACTGGGTACAGTCAGAAGTGCAGGAGGGTGAGAGGATTCACCAGAGCCAGAGCGGGAA